AAGGGGGCGTGCTCTTTCCTTTTTGCTCTTGTCACCTTATACCTGTCACCTTTGGTACCTGTTGACGCCATGAATGGCTGCCACTGTGCCATGCCACCCTGGCCTTGGTGCCAGCTGATTATGGACTGAAATCTCCAGAAACACTGAACTAAACAAACCTTTCCTTTCTGCATTTTGGGTGTCAGGTATTTTGTCCCACCAAGGAGAGAAAGTACCCAAGACATGAGGTAAAGGATGACTTTAGCAAGAGTCATTCCAGGAGTCTACTAGGGGGGAAAAGAGCAGGCAGCAGGGGATGGGACAAGTAGAAAGTGAAAAATAAAGGTAAGGCCATGCAGCACACGGCTCCTTTTATATGAAATGTCTAGAAAGGGCAAATCCATGGAGACCAAAAGACTGGTGGCTATCAGGCCTGGGACAGGGAATCAGGAGTGACTGCTAAATGGGCATGAGATTCCCTTGGTAGTTATAAGAATGCTTTGAAACTAGTCAGGGATGGTGGCATTACAACATGGGAAGTGTACAGCGGCATGCCTCTGAGCTACGCATGTGAAATGGTTCAAACCATTGTGTGCGCTCCCCTCATACACCCAAGCCGGGACAATAAGAGCCTGTCTGGGCATCAAACAAGAATCTGAATTGGAGCATAAATGAGCCCACATCTGGAAAACAATCATCATAATTTTTTGAGGGGGGTGATTTTTGAGATAGGGTCTCACTATGTTGCTAGCCCAGGCTGGCCTGGCCTCCTGAGTACTGAGAATACAGGCATGCACCACCACACCCAGCTCTTCATAATCTTTGTGTCATCAAAACAAAGTAAGTTATGACTATTCTTACACTGCTGAACAAAACAGTCTCATATGATTTAATCTAATATATTCTCTTTTAAAAGACAGCACATTTGAACCAAGCATTGTGGCACATATCCATCATCCCAGCACTTGGGACACAGAGGCAAAAGGATCACCAGGGGCTGGAGCATTACCTGGGCTTCACAGTGAGTTCAAGGCCAGCCTGGACTACATCGTGAGACACTGTGTGAAAAAGCCAACTCCACCACCAAAGACAGCACACTGATGCATGCCTGCATGCGTGTGTCTGTGTCTGTGTTTTGTTTTGCTTGTCCAGTACTGGGAACTGAACTACAGGCCTTCACACTGTGCTATATTCCCAGTCCTTTTTTAATTTTTATTTTGACACAGGGTCTTCCTAATTCACTAAATGGCTCAGGCTGGACTTGAATTTGCAGTCCTCCTACCTGAGCCTCCCCATGTGCTGGGATTACAGACACGAGCCAGCATTCCTGTCACTACATGGGACATTTTACTAAGACTCCTGTCACCATTGAAGCTAGGTAAATCAAACACTTCTGCTGCTCAAGAGTCCTAACTGACCCTGGCTGTTGTATTTCTCTTCTTTTAAAATGAAGCCTCAGAAAGGAGACTTAAGAAAGGCGTTTAGCTGGAAAGAGATGTCTGACACAGAAAGCAAGCAACACAAGCTTTGCATATGTGGGCTCTGTTTCTGGCTTGGCCCACTCCTTCCCAGAGGACCATAAGCAAGCATGGACCCCTAGTTTCCACCACATGCTACTCCTGACAGTCAGGTCAAATGAGGTCCTCCTCTCCCTGCCCTGCTATGCAGTTCAGGTTGGCCTCTAACTCACTGTATACTACAGGCTGGCTTTGAACTCACTGGGCTCTTCCTGCCTCAGGCTCCCAAATGTTGGGATTATAGGCATGCCCCACAATGCCTGGGCTCAAATGAGGTTTCTGATGAGAAACAGCAACTACCATCACTAAAAAGCAACTGCTATCCAAAACTGAACAGCATTTCTGCCAAACACTTTAGCTCTGTAATATATTTCTCAAAGGGCTGATCAACAGTTTGACTTAAGTGCAAAAAATAACTTAGTGACAATTCATAATTTCCAGAAGGAAACAGCACTCTAGACTCTTGGAAAGTATACAATATGAACAATAAATCCTGATGAATTAATCAGTCTTCCATAATCTAAGATTGGATATAAGTTTTATTTATTTCTTACTAGAGACTGAATCAAGAGTCTTCATAGTGAGCTATCACCCCAGCCCTTATTTTTCTTTTTTAAATTTTGAGACAGATCCTTATAAAACCACTGTCAGGCGTGTTGGTGCACACTTGTAATCCTAGCACTCAAAAGGTAGAGACAAGAAGATTGTCATGAGTTTGAGGCCAGTCTAGGCTACATAGTGAGTTCAAGGTCAGTCTCAAACATAGTAAGACCCTGTCCCAAAAAAAACAAAAGCAAACTAAAACAAACAACAACAACCACAAAGTCACTAAGTTGTCCAAGCTCTACTAAAACTTGCTATCCTCCTCCTCAACCTCCTGAGAGCTAGGACTATAGAATGTCCACCACATCTATGTATTCAGTGCCACTATTTTTTTTTTATATCAGACATCAGACTCAGGACCTTGCACTTGCCAGGCAGGAGCTGTGCACTGAACTGTATCCCTGGCCTTCAGTTCTACTTTTAACTATTCCCATCAACCCAATTTTTCATGTTTTAGTTCACACCCACTTGTCACTACTAAGTAAAACACCAAAAACGACAAATGGCAGAACCACCATCCTATTCTATAGTCACTTCAGCTAAGCGTGGTGGCACACGACTGTAATCCCAGCATACAGGAGGCTGAGGCAGAAAGATTGTTACAAATTACAGACCAGCCTGAGCTACAAAGTGAGCTCACGGCCAGCCTAACCTGCTCAGCAAAATCCTGTCTCAATAAGACCCAAAAAAGAAAAAAGTCACTTTTTTCCCCCTCTTTTTTGGGACAGTGGTCTCACTATGTAGACCAGGCTGAACTCCTTGAAGCAAGCCTCCTGCCTCAGTCTCCTGAGTACTGAGATTACAGGTGTGCAACACCAAACACAGTTAAGGTAGTGACTTTCTTAATTGTTCCTTGTAGGCACTATTTTTCTACCACTTTTTTGAGAAATAAATCAACTGAAATCCCTGTTGTGAAGAAAACAGAGTTGCTAGCATGCAGAGCTGCCCAGGGACTTGAGGTCTTCTGGTTCTGAATGACAGAGAAAAAAATTGTAATTATGAGTGAAGGTCATGGCATGAAAGTGCAATCTCTGTTCTTCCCAGGAATGGAATCCACCCTTTCCACCAGAGACGTCCAGTGACGGAAGAAACAACGAGAAGGGAGCAGACAGCACTTGGCAAAAAACCCTTGCATTCCAAGCCCTAGTGGACACACTGAATTTGGGGATGCCGAATGTTTACAGCTCCAACTTGTGCCAGGAAAAAAAGAACCTCTTCAGGTCAAGAAGCTTCCTTTTCTCATGAATTCCATTTGCTCCCATGCTGACTGTTATGGCTTGTGTCCAGATGCCCCCCCAAAGCTTCATGTGGTCATAGGTGGGGCTTCTTCCGAGGCGGCTGAAGAGTATGCGATGTTGGTGTATGATTCCTCAATCAGTACACTGACTGGTTTGGCATTTCCCTATCCCGGTAGCCTGGACACAATATAAGGACTGAGAGAGACTTATCTTCTCCCTTGCTTACTTGCTCCTGGCCGTCTTACTTGTCATCAACTATTTCTCCTCTGCGATTCCCCTCTGCCAAGCCACCCTGCCTTGGAATCAGCCAGGTATAGACTGAAACCTTTACAAACTGTGAACTATATAAACCTTTCCCCTTTAACTTTAGGTGTCAGGTAGTTTGTCTCAGTAATGAGAGGAAGGTAACGAAGATGCTGATCCAAGTCGAATGCAGTGATCCTACATAAATCAACAAGCAATGTTTCTTTTCCAGCCTGAGTCAGAAGACGGCAAACAGTTTTTAACTGTACTTGCCAGGGGATGTTGACCAAATGCCTATCTTCTTTGTGGATCTAGTTTTTCTTTTATAAATGAGGACAATAACAGATTAATAGAATTGTGGTAGGGTTTAAGATGATAGCTGTCATTTAGTTGTGTCTGCCAAATAATGAACCCATATATTAGCTCTTATCGGCAACAGTACCTCCATCGTGAGGTCTGGTCTAGAGAGATATGGCACTTCTCTCATGAAATGAGAAAACTGTGAAAAGCTGTAATAAAGATTTTAAAGTGGGAAATCAACTCTCAAAAAAGTGCTTTCACCAAAAACTACACTGTGTCAATAAAACTCAATTCAATGACTCCAAATTCCTTCATCACAGGTGATAATTAATGTTTGCAAGGTACAGTACCATAGGGAAAAATTAGTGTTCCCAAGGTAATGTATAGCAAGAATGAATGAACATACAGTAAAAGTCCCTAAAAAACATCATTCCAAGCTGCTACTCTGGGGTCAGAAACGATAGAGATTCAGCATATTGGTTCAGTGTTACAAACGAAAAGCAGAATACGGTACCCTGATAATCAATGTCCATGTTTAACCAACTTAAGTCAGAAGCTCTGTAATTTAAATATAGAACAAATGGGTTGTGGTGCCCTCCAGTTATAACCCATATTCCATTTATTCCAATGCATACAAGTGCACATACCATATATTCACAGTTCCACTAGGAAATGCTTAAATATTTTTAGAACTTAAAGAAAAGCAGAGTTTTAAAATCAACTATGACCCCTCATAACAAATCCATAGTATAGAATCTATTTCCTTAAAGTCAGTTTTGATAAGACAAAAAAAAAAAAATCCTGAGGAAAAACAATTTGAAATCTAAATAATAGTAGGAAAATACAATCCCTTTCCATTAAATGCATTGCTCTACGATCACCAATTTGGACTTTTTCCCACTTGCTTGCAAGACCCAGTGTGCTTTTTTTTTAAGTGGAACTATCAGTTCACTCCTGTCCTAAATCCTACAGCAGCATCTTAAGGACAAACACAGGGGACTTGCCGTCTCATTTGGAATGACCCATCCTGCTGGGATCTTCTAGTTGCTTCTAGGTGCATTACACACTGCAGCAGACATCAGCAGGCACTTCTAGAAACCCCCTCTAAAGGTCCACTGACCTTTTGATGACTTGTGACTTCGTCCCTGCTTCTTCCCAGCTCCTTGGCAAGTTTGACGTTCTCTTCCTGCAATGCTGAAAGCTGCTGCGACTTCTGAGCTGCCGCCTGCTTTAGGGTTTCTCTGCAAGGACAGTGAGCACAGGGTTACCATAGAAACAAGACAGGCAAGGAAACTGTGGGAGACAACCAGCTTCACAGCACCAAGGAAAACAGATCTGGTCACGTGTCTGACAGGCTCTGTAACAACAGGAGACAGTGTCGTCTGCAGGCAGGAGGGGCCACACGGCTTTAACCTCTCAAAAGAAGCATGGCCGCCCACAATTATTACATTTTTAAAAACTTAATAAACACTACTGCCATCCTCTTACCACCTACACACACTCCATACAAAAAAAGACTTCTGTTATAAAATAAATGACAAAAGAGATGGTCAGAACAGCATTCCTGTCTTTAAGAATACTTCCATCCAGATAATTACATTTAAATCCACTACTTTGGTAAAGTGATTTAATTTGCTACCAAGGCACTGTTCTGGCTGCACAGATTTATAATCTGTTTCACAGAAATAAAACCAAGTGGTTCTATTTACTTTGCCTGTCAGAGTCAACTGCTGATGTGAATCTGAGCTGCCCCCCAAAAGGTTTTCTACTTAAACAGGTGTCTTATTTTCATGGCATTCTTTCCAAAATACCAATTTATAATTAAAAGAAGCAAATAAAAATATAATAGTCTTATACCCAATATTATGAGTATTAACATATGAACACATATGAATTTATAAATACCTTTCCAACATTAAAATTAACTCAAAATACCCATTCTAAATTATTATTTATACATGGATATTCAAAATATTTTACCTGATCGCTGGATTTTAGTGTTATTATTTACACATTGATATTCAAAATATTTTACTTGATCACTGGATTTTAGTCTATCATAGAAGGTTTTGATGCAACTATAAATTTTAAGTAAGTCTGTGCTGGTTAAACTCCACTCCACAAGCTGTCATATGTAGCTGAATTCCACATTCAGTCATCTGGGTATGAATCCATCTGCTGAGGCATGAACACATCTATTTTTAACGTCAATTGTCTAATGGGTGACACTGCTTGGCAGCTTCAATTTTCTCGAGATTTTAATTTTCCACCTACCTATAATGTTCATACTGTGATGACCTCATGGTGATTTAAGGGGATAAATCTCTAAAACCTCTCTTAGCATATTCAACCAGGCTTTTTAACAGGGATGTTTATTTACCAAGTAAAAAAATGGGAGAAGAGGTATTAACCTCAGGTAATTAGCCATTCAGAAAAAGTCATAATTTTAATTATGGATCCATCTACCCATCCATGTACACATCTACATTTCTCTCTACACATACCCTACAGCTAAAGTTCCTTCCTTGTAAAAGTCCACCAATCCTTGACAAATCAGATGATCAGCAATCACCATAAGCCGAACATTATATTTCACAGTGGCCACTGCCTTTGTGGAGCTATCTGGTCTTAGCATTTATGTGGTCTGACAAGAGTGGTATCTGTGTTCCTCTTCTTTCCTCCTTAAAGATTTTTACCTTTTCAAGGATTGTTTTGGGGTGGGGTTTTTTTGTTTGTTTGTCTACTTGTCTTCAGACAAGAGTCTCACTAGGTAGTTCAGGCTGTCCTTCACTTGTGATGTAGCCCAGGCTGATCTCAAACTCAGAGCCATGCTCCTGCTCAGTTTCTTGAGTCCTAGGATTGCAGGCATGTGCCACCATGCCCAACTCTTTTAAAATTTGTTAAACTCCTGGCTTATATTAAGAGCCTGTAGTAAGGAAAATTAAAATGAGGAGTCAAAGTAGTAGTCTAAAAAATAGCTAAAATATTTATAAGTATTGACCTACAAAAATGATATTTGCTGTTTTAAAATACACCAAATGATTTCAAGTACATTTTCTTATTTAATTCCCAAAGCACAGGGAGGCTTTTGCTACTATTTGTTTTAAGATAGAAAACTAAAGCTCAGAGAAGTAAGATGATTTGCCTCAAATCATAAAGTCAGTAAGTCACAGAATCAGAGCCAGAGTTACAATTGGCAGGTGGACTTCAGCTATGATTTTAATACAAGGGCACATTTCAAATTATCTCCAGGGAACTGTGGGATGTGCATTCATGAAGGAAAGACAGTCCCACTGTCCCAAGTCTGGACATTCAACTGTGAGTCTGAAAACACCAAGACTACATTTCTAACAATTTTAAGAAGCACTTACTCCCTCTAAGGGACAAGGTGTCTTGAAACAAATAAATAAAAGAATTCTTTAGTTTAAAAACTGACAGCTGAGTATAGCTGCACACAAGTGTAATCCCAGAAATTGGGAGGTAGAGGCAAGAGGATTGCTTTGAATCCAAGATTAGCATGAACTACATAGTGAGATCATGTTTCAAAAAACTAAAACAAAAAGAGAAACAAACTCCCTCAACTCAAAAGACTAGAGAGAAACTGTTTTATTGCTATTCTCCAGTTGAAAACAGGAGCTGGCTAATCAAAATCAAGGACTTTTCTTTAACAGCAGCCCAGTAGGCAGCAGAGAGAAAGCGCATCAGGGACAAGTGCTGACTTCCAGTGCCAAGGGTGGAGTTCCTGATGGAAGCCCAGCCCATCCATAGCATCCCTTTCCTCCAGGAACCTCCATGCCACTGGGTGACGAGAACCATCACACTTGAGGATTTGAGGAGCCCTGCACATACACAGAGCGAACTACAGGACAACAGCTGCTCATCCTCCAGGTCTGAGAACCAAAGAGCACAGCTAACAACTACAAGGAAGCTGTGCTGGTTTGTTTGTTTGTTTTTTTAATCGGTAGCGGGGATCGAACTCATGACCACCTGCTTGCAAGGCAGGTGCTTATGCCGCTGAACTAAATCCCCAGCCCCAGCTGTGCTGTTTTGAGCAGCACTGTTCCGGTCCCTGACAGCAGACAGATCTTGACTGATAGTGGTCTAGAGAACAAGCCAAATGGCAGAACTTTTCAACCACTTCCCACGCTGTCCCTGCTGAGCTTCTGTGGAAAGCTACACAACAGCTGTGGGGGACCCAGTCACTCATCAGAAGGTGGTATCCCTCAGTCCTAATGGGCAGGAGAGAAGCAGAGAACCTAAAGTTCAGCCTGCTCTCTCCCTCTCCAGGGCAGAACCAGAGGGGAGGATTGGCAGCAGTGACTATGACTGTGATGCAACTGGGTTAATCTTTTATTCCCAGGTCTTTGCTTCTATAGGCAGGAGATAAACTTTCGACTTGTCACTGGAATAATGGTAAGAAAGGGACACAAAGAGAGTTTCTTTCCCTTTTTGGGAGGAGCTGGGAGGGGAACCTAAGGCCTTATGTCTGCCTGGTAAGTGCTCAACAGATGAGCTACACCTCTGGCCTGATAACCTCTCTTAATGGGGATGAGCCCAACCCCACACTGTGGGCAGGTGACATGTTAGGATTTGGTGAGGACTCTGACCATCGAAAGTGATCGCAAGCTAGACTAATGCAATGAGCCTCCTCAGCAATATGGTCTGGGATGTTACCTAAGCCTCAAGAGCTCTTTCCACTCATGCCTGGCCCCTGCATTACCTAACATGGCCCAGAGAGCTCAAGAGTAGGGCTACGGCAGCGCGAGGTTAGTTAGAGACTGTTCTGGTGCTCACATCCTCCATCTCCAGCTGCCTGTACGACAAAAGAACTAAAGCCAACTCAATGTTCCAGAACGTTCAGGGTTAGCTAACTACTCACATTGTGGGGGAAAACATTCTAAACTGTAACTAGACCCACGCTCTTTGAATTTAACTAAATTGTTATATTCCTACAGTTAAGTTTGTTTTTCCTGCCAAGTGACCAATTATCTATTAGTATTATTTGGCTTTAACAGGCCAAAGAGATGTGTTTGTCATTTAGTACCAGGAATCAAACTCAGGACCTTGCTCTTGCCAGGCAGGCGCTGGTATCGCTGTGCTATATCCCTGGCCCTTGACTATTTGAATCTTATTATGTAGTTTAGACTGGCCTTGAACTCACCATTGCCCAGGATAGCCTTGATCTTGTGGTGATCCTCCTCCCTTAGACTCCCGAGTGCTGGGATTACAGGCATGTACCACCACGCCTGATATCCACCAAGATTTAAGATTACTCCTAATGGTCATGATCACACTGTGAGTTTTTAAGCGTATGCAGGTGTAACTGATGGGAGCTGCTGAAACATCATAGAGCAACACCATTAATACCAAGGCTGCAGAGGGAAACTCAATCACCAACAGCCTATGCTGAGCATATCCTCAAGTGAGTATCTCGGATCAAATTATTCCTAGGAAAGTTGGAGGAACTCTCTGGACAGAAAGACATATATAATATAATCAGGTCAGATAAATAAATGGTACTGATGATGCTTACTTAGGAATTGCAGCTTTGAACTGATGCTTTTATTTCTGTTCCAATTTCATGTTTTATTAAAATTAGAAATAAATGGTATAAACCTTTGAAAGGTAAGGACCGCAGACATTTATCTGTGCACCTATCCAGCTGAATAATATCTAGTAAGAGGACACACATATCCACTTGTTCACCAGAATTAAGTGGCATTAGATTTTTGGTTTATGTTGTTGACACGGTGAAGTTACTGAATACAAGACCAAATGAAATTTACACTGTAACCATCCCTTAAAATGTCTCTCAAATACTGAGCATGGTGGTGCATGCCTGTAATCCCAACAATTGGGAGGCTGAGGCAGGAGGACTGCCATAAATTTGAGGCCAGTTTGGGCTATATACACAAGTTCAAGAGCAGTCTGCATTACATAGTAAGATATTATCTGCCCCCCTCAAAAAGCAAGGTAACTTCCAACTTCTGACAATTACAATACCACTACAGCTCTCTTTGTTTCTTGTTTTTTTTTAATCGGTACCAGGGATTGAACTCATGACCGCCTGCTTGCAAGGCAGGTGCTTATGCTGCTGAGCTAAATCCCCAGCCCCGCTACAGGTCTCTTAAAGGAGAGGGCTAAACTGGTATTGAAAAAAGAAACATGAACAATGTGTCTGAACTGAGCAGCAGACTGGTGGGTAAACCCTAGAGAGTCTCAAAATATCCCGGTATTTACCTTCCATGCCAGATCTCAGTACTCTTAAGAGGAAAATATTTACAAGTCCTGAAAGTGACATGCTGTTTTGGTTTCTTCTCCTACAGAAAAGTTTTGAGGGATTTTTAAAAAGGTCTGATAGTTCTGCTTTGTGGTGGTTGTGATGGTTGTTTTTGGTACCAGGAATCAAAATTCGTGACCTCATGCTTGCCAGGCAGGCACTGTGCCATTGAGCTACATCCCCAGCCCTGGTTCTGACTGTTTATAGACTGGCTATCAGATAAACACATTACATTAAACTTCTGATTCTATTTGTATCTTCAAAGCTTTGCAAAGTCACAATGGATCCCAAATGTGCACCTATCCAGCTGAATTATATCTGGTGGGAGGACACACATTCCCACTGGTGCCAGTCAGCACATAGTCCCTGCCACCCTTTTATCTACCTGTAGTTCCTTCTTAATGGTGGTTGAGATGCTTCTAGGGGTGGCAATAGTGTTTAGGGTACAGAAGGGTAACTTTGTGGGGTTTCTGCTTTATTGTACTTTTCAAATTATTTTTAAAATAACTACTTTCACTTTTGCAATATAAAAGTTTCATCACTCAAAGGAGATAAACTTACATTTCTTTCCTGAATTCTTCCATTTTTTGATTCTCTACGGTCAGAAGTTCTTTGGATTTGTTCAGCTCTTCCATATTTTTCAAGTTGTTCTCTTTGAGTGTGTCCAACTTAAAGACCAAAAGGAAAAATTCATGAAACAATTTCATTTTCCGGTGGCATGGTTAGAGAGACAAATTATTCACCAAAATATGTATTTAAAAAGTAGATAAAATGAATCACCTGCTAAAATAAGAGTCTGTTGGCTGAAGAAATTACAAATGACAGATGTATTATAAATCACAAACACTCCTTATGTTTCGTAAATTTCCTTCATACTTGGTCAAAATGTCAAACTAATTTGCTGCATAAATTTAAATTTTTTTTTCATCTTGTACACAATTATTATTTATCAGTGAGCTTGCTACTCATATATGATCCATCCTTTAAAAGCAAGAGTTACAGTGCCACAGCAGGGATTATTCTTTTTCATAAAATGAAACTCCTTTCTGTCCCCATAGATCAGCAGTGTAGGAAACTTTCCAATGTCAGTACCAAATTTACACAGTCCTTGTTACAAAAAATATTTATTTCAATCAAAACATTTGTAGACTGGGAAAATTTTAAGCCACCCATCTGAACATTTTTTGTTTTGTTTTGCTTTGGTATTTTGGTACCAGGAATTAAACTCATGACCCTGCACTTGCCTGTGGCACTATGCCACTGAGTATATCCCCAGCCCCCACCCACTGAAACTTTAACCAAAAGAGGAAGAAGTTTTGCAGTGAGCGTGAAGGTATCCATTAGGTTAGGGCTTGAACCCCTTGTGGGAAACAAGGTATGCAACTGGGATGGATGCTCACAGGCTCCAGAGATGGCCAGACTTTTAGCAGGGGTCCCCAACAAGAATGTGGGGTTCATATAGTCATTCAGGATACAGGACCTGCTCCTGGCTAGGATGACTCTCTGAACCTTGAGTCTTTGTCTCCCATAGGTAGAAAAGGGAGTTTTCTTCCTTTATCTTGTCACACAACCTCAGCCAAGAATTCCAGAAAGTGTCGCTAAATTCTATGACCCTCGGGGCTGGGGATTTAGCTTGGCGGCATAAGCGCCTGCCTTGCAAGCAGGCAGTCATGATTTCGATCTCCGGTACCGATAAAAAGGAAAAAGACAAAAAAAAAAAAAAAAAAAATTCCATCATCCTCCTTTTAATGCCCTGCTATTATTTCAGATTTACAGAAGAAAACCAAATACTGAAATGGGCCCAAGATAGGTTCATCTGGTCTTGTATTTTGGCTACAATGAACACACACACCAAAGGGATATATTATCAGAGGACACACGTTCCCTGGTTTCTATCCCCAAAGGTTAAAAGATGTTCCTTATAACGTTGCCATTTACTCTAGCTTCTAACTGTACTTATCATCTGTGATTTCTGTACTGCTTTTATATTTTTAGCTTGTCAGTTTCACAAGTTTTGTTTGTTTACCCTACAATTACCTCAAAATGTCCACATCTTTGGAGATCACCATCTCTAGCCTTGTACTATCCATTTGGCCATTCCCTCCCTTGCTTTACTTCCTAAAAACCTCATCTATCTTTTTTTTTTTTTTTTTTCTTTAACCTCATCTATCTTTACAAAGAATCTGAAGTGACAGAATTTTACACACTAACTCCAGCGAATCAGTCTGCAGGGGGTTCAAGTAACAGCTTTCCAAAGAAATAAAGGTTGGCATGAGGTGGGAGGGTGTGATCAGGGAAACAATGGGTACAAGGAGGAAAAATGCCACTTCGGAACTAAATGAAAATATTTTGGTGTCATAAATTTGTCCCAGCTACAGAACTGGTTAATTCATACCAAACTACCCTGAGCAAAGGCCTACATCAAGCTGGAGAATATAATTTAGCAGCTCCAAGCTGGAACAGAGTTGAGAAAAGTTCGTAAAATGCAGGATATAAGAAGAAGGGAACTCCATCTCTACAGTCTCTTGCCAGAGCCTTCACTATATCCACATTGGCCTCTTGCCAGTGCCTTGGACAGCAACACTGTTTCCCCATCAAGTGACAAAAATTGGTTCTGTGCCAGTGTGGCACACACCTCTAATCTTGGCATTTGAGAAGCATTTGAGGAGGATCACTGCAAGTTCAAGGCCAGCGTGAACTACATAAGAAGACCCTTTCTCAAAAAATAAAACTGATTCTGCTAGATTCTGCTAAACAAGTAACAAAGTAACATACTTTATTTAACATACGGCTCTTGTATAAGTGCAATTCTACTAACATAGACCAAAACTGCACAAGGCCACACTAAAAAATACACAATCTTAAGTTAGTGACCAAACATTCCATAACATCGCTGATAAGCTGTTCTCTGTACAAAAAGTCGTTTAAATCTAATTACTTCATTTTGCAGTTTTGCGTTTGTTTGCTTCGTGTCCTCCAAGGAGGCGAGAGTTTCGGTCTTCTCTTTGGTCATCTGTTCCACTATCTGCATGGCATCTTCTGCAGTCTGAGACGCCTAAATACAAGAAAACACAGTGAGGAGGGAGTGAGGCCTGCTTGACACCAAGGCTAAGCTCAGGCTGTGCTGCTTGGGCAGCCCTTAGCCTATGTGCCTTGGCTGAGAGAGGCACACAGAAGTGAGACAGCCACCAGCCCGTTGCTGAAGGCAACAAACAAGACAGGAAGGATCTGTCCCTGACACAGTCACAGACCCTTATTTGGCCAGTAAGTTAACCATCACATAACTTTCATCTTTTCAGAGCCCTCTAAACCCAAATATTCCAATGACAGTTCCGAGTTACACTGACAACTATGCTCTTACACTCCGACTTACACTGGAGAGACAACACTCTGTGTGGATAAAGAATAACACTCTGGGCTGGGGATTTAGCTCAGCAGCATAAGCGCCTGCTTGGAAAGTGTGAGGTCCTGAGTTCAATCCTCAGTACAAAAATAAAAAGAATAACACCCTGAGGTAGCTGGATTGCACTTAATCACATTTACACTGTGGCAGTTTAACATACTACTTTTGCTATTACAAATCTGAAGCTTTTGACATCACTTACACTGGGAATTCTTCACATAAAAATTAAAATTGTTTGGGAAATTGTAAAATAAAACTGAAATGTTTCATGAGACACATTTAATGGAAAAGCCTAAGGGAAACTGGGTAATGAATATAATCATGATTGTGAATAAAAAAGACATTTGCATATGGAGACGAATTCTTAGCTGCTAAGTACCAAAAATAATCATAAAAAATAAAATCATCTTAGGTACTTGATTACAATTTCATTTGCTCTAATAAAATTTATGGGAATTTTGTATTAGACGTATCCTACTGTTAGCCATGGAGAGTCCAATTCCAAACAGATAGACCCAATCAGATATTTAAAAGCCAAACAGCAGATAATATATCTCAATTCTACTGTTGCTGTTAAGCCTTTGAGAACCACAGTTAACTTGCTCACAAGGTTTCTCCAACTTCTCTCAACTAATAATAAATCCTTTTTATTCACAGTTTGCAATGCTTTCCAAGTAGAAAGAAATTACTGCAATTAGACATTTAGTAAAGAATGCCCTAGCTGGAATGAGACAAAAACTATACTTATCTAGTGGAATGGATTTTTGTAAGTGCAATGAAAAAAAAATCATATATGCCACTAACATTAGTGCACAGGGTTAGTAAATAATCCAGGTGCCCAATACTGGAACCGCTCACTTTACCGTGAATGAATGAAGAGTCTCAAGCTCTCTAATTTTATGGGTAAGTTTGCTCTTGTCTTTCCTCAAAGTACGGTTTTCACTTTGAGATTCTAGAAGGTTGGCTGAAATGTGGCTGTTGGTTTTGGCCAGCTGGCTAATCTCTTTCTGGAGGATGAAATAACTTTCTTCCAGCTTTTCTTTCTCCTTCAAGAGCTCATCCCTTCTCAGCATCATTTCTCTCTTCTCAGCCAGGAGGTTCTTGTTTTCTTGCATGAGCTCGGCTCTCTCAGCCACAGTCACCTCATGCTTCAGCTGGAGATCATCTAGGATCTTGCTGAGGTAAGTGTGCAGTTCCTGCAGTTCCAACTTGGACTTGGACATGGCAGCAAAATCACTTTTCATGGTCTCTATCTTGGCGGCAAGTTGAGCCGTTTCTGCACTCAAGAGTTCCTTTTCCTTAATAATCTCCACCACCTTTTGCTCAGACTTGGTCTTTTCTTGGATTAGTACAAACTTCTCAGACTGGAGCTGCTCGGTACATACTCTTAACCCCTCTACCTCCTGCTCTAGGAGCACCAATCTCCCATGGAGTTTATTGTTTTCATACAAGGATGACTCTTTTTCCTTTGCCCTGGCTTCTTTTTCTAGGACTAAGGACTGCTGCATTTCATGGAGCTCCTCAGTTAATTTCTGACACTCTTCTTTCAGATTCAAGCCATCCCTCAGCAAAATGCTCTTTTCACAGCAACAAGTCTTTAGCTCAGCATTCAAGTTTTCCTTCACTTGCATCACAGTGGTGTGTTCTTTTTCAAGATTCCTTTTGGCATCTTGTGCCTCTTTCAGCATCAAAGAAAGGTCATACTTGCTGGCTATTAGCTCTTGGTTTTCCTTTTCCTTCTCCTGAATCTCCTTCTTAAGAGCATCAACATCACCAAGTAGTTTCATCTTCTCATGCACAATTATTCTTCTGTTTGCAGCCTCTTGGTCATATTTTCTCTTAAGTTCTCCTATGGCTTTGATGGAATTTTCTCTCTCTGAAAGTAAATCTCCATTTTGTATTTCCAGTACTGACTTTTCATTGAAGAGAGTCTCTTGCTGTTTTTTAAGCTGAGTAATTTTCTGAGAAGCTGCCTCCTTCTCAGAAGTTAGTTGTGTGATCTTGTCATTCAGGCTTATTTCACGATGGGTGGCCTCTTGTGATTGCTTATTAAGTTTTTCTGTAATGATCCTATTTTCACTCACAAGTTCCTCTTTCTCAGCCAGGAGCCTCCTCTCAGAGGCAGCCCAGGTCTCCTTCTCATGGAGGAGCTGAACGCACTCTGAGTCTGTGATGGCCTGGCTGGCCTTGATCTCTTCCAGGAGCTGTGTGAGGCTCGTGTTGGCAGTCTGCAGCTGTCTGGTCTCCAGCTCGGCTTTCCTCAGTGCTTTGCTGGCACAGTCTAGCTGTGTGCGCAGCACCCCGGCTTCTGTGCTGAGCAGCTGCTTCACCTGCAGGGTAGCCTCCAGACTGGCACTCAGTTTTTCCTGACCCTGATGCAGCGAGTCCTTCTCAAATTGCAAGTCTCTGTTGCTCTGGAGAAGGCTTTCTCGTTCTGCTGTTAGGGCCCGGCATGCGCTATCGAGGCCTGATTGCTTCTCGGCCGCTGCCTCCTTTTCAGCTGTGAGTGCCTCAAGCTCCTGAACCAAGGCCCTCTGATCCTTGGCAAGTTCTTCATAAGCACTCTGAAGCTTCTGAATGACATCATCCTTGTCTTTCACCAGGATGAGGTTTTCAGCAGCAAGCTTCTTAACCTGATCCTCTAGGTGGCCTTTTTCTGCCCGAGTCTTCTCAGCTTCGGCTGCCAGGGTATCTCTGCAGAGCCGGAGCTCATCCATGAGTACCTGCATGCTTGCCGTGGAAGCTTGCAAAGAACTGTTACCCATATGTATCTTTAAGAGCTCTTCCTGGGCAATGTGGATTTCTTTAAGCAATTTTGCTTTCTCTGCAGCCAAAGCTTCTTTATCAAGCTGTTCCTGCCGGCAAAGCTTTTCAGCAGCTTCCTTCTCTTCTAAGACTTTCTCCTTCTCTAAATTAAGAGTTTTGTTTACTGACCGTAGTTTCTGCTGGTCTTGCTGAAGTAAAGTTACTTTGGCCTCCACTTCTACAAGCTTTGTTAAAAGCGAACCTTTTTCTACCTTTAAAGTATTTCCCTCCTGTGCGAGAAGCTGCTTCTCTGATTTCAGACCCCTCAGCTCTTCTGAAATTAGTTCAATTTCTTTTTTGGCTGATGTTAACAAATAAGTTAGCGACTACAGAAACAAAAAGATGAGAAGAATGGAAACAAAAATGAAATCAAGCACACAAATGCAAGCCCAAATAACTTAATGTAGCCTAAAAGTTTAAAATTTTCTACAATAAACTTTATAGAAGAAAAATGTCATAGAAACTTCATATGATACCAAGGGGAGACTAGAGAAACACAGCCCACAACAAGGTAGGCTCTGCAAAGTATTAAGACATCCACTGGCCTGCTGCACCTCTGAACAGAACATGAGTTTATTCCTGGAGCTCCCCAGAAGAGAAGAGCAACATGGTAGTGCCAGCCTGTAGGATCAGCTGCTCAGGAGGCTGAAGTGGGAGGGTTTGAGGCCAGCCTGGGCTACACAGTAAGACTCCATGTCAAAACCAAAAATCTCAGTAATTTGATTTTAACATAAGAGTGTAAAATTCTCGAGCTGGGGATTTAGCTCAGCAGCATAAGCGCCTGCCTTGCAAGTGTGTGGTCGTGAGTTCAATCTCCGATACTGATAAAAAGAAAAAGACAAACAAAAAAAAAAAAAAAAAAGAAAGAAAAAGAAAAGAAAACAAGAGTGTAAAATTCTCTACTGCCATTCCATTATCCAATTATTTCTAGTATAGAAAAGATACATAAAAGGATTTATTTATTTGGACTGAGGATTTAGCTCAGCAGCTTAAGCACCTGCCAGCCAAGGGCTAGGTTGTGAGTACAATGCCCCGGTACCAAAAAGGAAAAAAAAAGCACCACAAAAAGGATTTATTTCCTTGTTCAGTAAACTGTTGCTGTTTTTGAGACATGGTCTTACTATGTAGTCCACGTTGGCCTCAAACTTGTGGTAACCCTTCTGCCTCAGCCTCCCTAAGTGCTGGGATTATAGGCATGTACCAGCACAATGGGCTACATTTGAAATATATTACGTCATGTTTCACTTAATTAACAGGAAGCTGTTATTTTGACTGGTTTGATTTTTGTGGTGCTGGGTATTAAACCCAGCTTCTCATATATGTTAGGCAAGCACTCTACGAATTGGCTATCAGTGACTTTTTTACTGGATTGGTTTCAAGTTCTTTATAATTTCTTTGTACTAAACTCCTAAATATATATTTCTCTAACATTTTAAAAACAAAGATAGGTATTTATTTTTCTTTGAGCAATTAAAAGTTAAATAGTAGTAGGACAGTTGAATTTCACTGAGTTAATACAGCCAAATACTACACTGGGATACAGATACAACCCTGACGCTGTAAGCTGAAGTTCAATGTACGAAGTGATACTCTCTTCACTAACTGGACATGTCCTCCTCACTGCCCTTGAACTTGGCTTCCTGGTCAGTAAGCTCACAGAGCCACCCCAGGAACACAGAAAAGCCTGTGTTCTCACTTCTAGTGCTTTCTATAAGAGCTCTGTTCATCCAGTGAGCTTCCTCCACACCCTGACTCCTTTGTGGTCATGGCTGCAGCCTCTGGGTATCCTGCGGCTTGTCTCTCCTAACCCTAGTGGCAAGGTGGCACAGCTCAGTCCAAGATTAGAGGAACATGCTTTCCCACACCAGAGTCTACTACAAGTAGGCAGATAAGAGCTTAGGCAACTAGGAGGCTTTGTGATAGCCAGGCACAAGCAGCGTAAGGGGTGGTGATGGCTACACAGGACACTCAGGGAAGCCCTGTAGCCATCACTGGCACCAAGAAGGAAGAGCAGCTGGTACAAAACACTTGAAGCCACAGGAAATGAAATTCATCACCCTGTTGTGGAGGGAAAGGCTAGTGCACGAGAAGGCTACACAACACATCCCATCTGCTGCTGCTTCCTAAGCACCCTGAAGCCTTGATGCTGAACTTGGGCAAGCCGCAGCACAGCTACAGGGCTCTGCCAAGCACATACTTTGGCTTTGTCAGCCTGTATCCGCAGTTCCTCCACCTCCTGCGTCAAGCCTCTGTTCTCCTCTTGGACAGCTTTCAGCCTCTCCCCTGTGTCCAACAGCATCTTGCGCAGGTTCTGCAAGATTTCTTCATGCTTTGTTTTTGTCTCAGAACTGGCTTTTTCATATCTGGCTTTCAGATCCTCATACTGGTTGTGGCTCGTTTCCATCTCCTTTTCCTGCAGAAACACCAAGGGAAGAAGTCAGTCACCTGGCAATCTATGTACTCTCTCTTCCTTCCTTGCCAGGGAACAAGTCCCATTTATTCTCCCCTTACCAGGTCCAATAATTTTTCCTCCAGTGCTTTCTTTTCTTCCTCGTGCTTTCTGGCTATTTCCTGCTGGCTCTGCTCAGCTTTAAGAGTTATCTCTCCAATGCTTTTCTGTAGAGTATTTGCATTTTCATTAGCCTTTGTAAGCTGTAACTGTAATTCTTCTACACATCTGCAAGTTTCAATAGAAGGTATCAGATTTCTCATAAGAGTGTTTTAAATTTAAGAATTATAAGAAAAACATTAGTGACAGTTACACTATTATAAAATTTGAATAATCAATAACAAGTAAAATAGGCAAATAACACATACTAAATTGTTTGGAATAACAAATACTATAATTGTGAAGATTTATGTTAATAGGTTACTTTTAAAGAATGAGTGACCAATAAGCATATTAAAGAAAATCTGAGTTCCAAACTGGGGAAGCCAAGGTAGAAAGATCACAAGTTCAAGGCCAGCCTGGATCACACAGCAAGTTCAAGGAAAGAAAATACGTTTTAAGCAGATTAAAATTACCAAAAACTCATTCAAATGCTTCTTGAGAAAAGAAAATACAAAATTTATAATCAATACCTGAAGTTCTTAAAGAGAATCCTGTAGCTGAACAAAGATGTACAGAAAACATAGGACCTTAACCTAGGATGGGACACTGGATGAATCAGTAAGTGCAGAAGGGAATGTCCAGGGCCGCTCTGGTTTGCTACACAGGACGGCAGCTGACTAGCGCTCCTTGGAGGCCCTGCACACACACATCTGTGTGGCTGCACCTGACCACAGCAAGCCTGCCTGAAGCAGCCACGCTGGCCTGCTCAACAGCCACTCATCCTCTTTGGACTGTGTGCTGCTGAATGTAAATGTAACAAGTGCTGACAGTCTAAGAAATAGAATTCTAATGAGAAATAGAATTCTAATGAGTTCTAAAATATTTTGCCTTATAAGACAAACATTTTTCATGGCAGCCATGAAAAAAATGAAAGCCAACAGAATAAAGAATCAAAGAACCTCAGAATAAAGACAAGAACAAATACTAAAATAAAAAAGCTTTAGCATTGGGCTGGGGATTTAGCTAAGCAGCATAAGCGCCTGCCTTGCAAGCGTGTGGTCATGGGTTCAATCCCAGGTACCGATAAAAAAAAAAGGAGAAAAAAAAAAAGCTTTAGCATCAAGGAAGTACAACATAGTTAAGGGCATCAAGAGCTCTGGGATCAGAGGGCTCAAATCCAAAATCTCAGACATGTTCCTCAGTTCCAGCAAACCTCAATTTCTTTTGCTTTACAATGGAAACTATGCTATACAGTACTTGCCTCACAGATTAATATGAGAATTAGAAAATATGTAAGCTACAGGCACAGGGCATGTCAAACAGAAAGCCCTCATCACACTGTAGCAAGTCAAAAATACATTAAATTGTTTGTAAAAGGTAAATGACTGTCTGTTCTTTATAAGTCACCATGAGGCATATAAATGCCACTGTATTATTTAAATCTACCCTTGCTGACAAATGAGATAGATAATATCATTTCAAAACATTACATAGTTGATTTAAGGACACACTGTATATTAGAAAGGAACAGAGGACCGCTATACTGCGGTAGACCACCTGTCTACCATGTGTAAGGCCCTAGGTTTGATTCCCAATGCATGCATGCTCGTGCATACATGCACAGAGATACAAAACCAAACAGGGATAGGAAACTTTACCCCTCAGCTTTTTGTCTGTTTCCTTCCCCAGCCAGACCTTGCTGCAGAACCAAATGCAAAGTAGACACTCTTACACTGATTCTCTTCGCGCATACCTTTCTTTCAGACGTAATTCATCGTTCATTTTTGTTAGCTGAGAAGAATTATCTCCTGACATCTTCATTATGTCGGCAATGTCATTTTCCAATTTTTCCTTTGCCTTTAGCAAGTACTCTTCTCTTTCATCTCTCTCTCTAAATTTTACCTCCATATCTGAATATATACAGGAAAATAATGGCATTGCTGTGTTAAGAGTAAGAAAAATGTACAGAACACATTTTTGCTCTAGGATTGCTTGCATATAGCAATGCCTGTCCCCTTAAAAATCACATATTCTAAGCCAGGTGTAGTGGTGCATGTCTGTAATCCCAGTACTAAGGGAGGCTGAGGCAGAAGGATCATTGCAAGTTCGAGACCAGCCTAAGCTACAAAGCAAGCTTGAGACCAGCCTTAACTGCATTGAGAGACTCTATCTCAAAAAAAGACCAAAAAAAAAAAAAGAAAGAAAGAAAAGAAAAAAGAAAATAAATACATTCTAGTTAAGAAAAAAGAAAAGAGTAATTACAGGTGTGGCAGCACATGCCTGTAAATCCAGACTCTCATTGAGTTTGAGGCCACTCTGGGTTACATAGTCTGAACTGCACAGTAAAAACCTCCAAAAACCAAAAATATAAAAAGAAAATAAAAGAAGAAGATAATAATGTAGTAGGTAGAAGTAAGTGCTGAGAGAGGGAAAACTGAAAGAGAAAGGGAGCTGGGAAGGAATGGGGGTGATTAAAATCCTAGATGAGGCCCCTTTGAGATGGTGTTATTTAAGCAAAAATTTGAAGGCAGAGCAGGGAAAGGCAAGTACAAGACACTGAGGCAGGAACATACCTAACGAGTCTCCTACCAGCAAGAAGGCCAAAGAGCAAAATGCCCAGGGGGAGGGTAGTCTGGGATGAAATCCCAGCCATAACAGGGCCTGGTGGGGCAAACCCAAAGCTTTTACTGAGAGGGGAGACAACCACCTAGCTGGAGCAGAAAAATGACATGGTGAGACATCCTGTTAAAAGATCACTCTGGCCGCTGTGTTGAGAAGTGCCGGAAGAGGCAGGTGCAGTGGCAGGGAGAACTGGCTGTGCTGTTACAGATGCTCACAGGAAAGCAGCCCTTGCTGTGGATCAAGGCCAGTGTGGATGTGGTAAGATATGGTGGATTCTAGTGTTTTTGAACACTGAAAACAGATCAAAGAGACTCGCTGATCTCAGATCTCAAATGAGTATTTCACCATATTCTATCACTATAATGAATGAAGAAGTTATACATGAATGGTAAGTATGTTGTTATAATGTAAGACAGTATCTCAAACCACAGGAAAACCAGTAAATTTAATTGTTAGTCACCAAAGACAGCTCCTTACCTGCTAAATTTTCTCTCAACTTCTCCAACTCAGAAGACAGTTGATCAAACTCTTTTTCTTTCTCGTGTAACTTATTCACAGTTTCTATTTAGGATAAAATTAAAATTTTAATGTACTTCATATTTAATAAGCCGACTGGATCCTGGCTGTCTCACAACACAATCAAGCCATACACTGTGGGAACTGAAAACATAGGAACGCTAGCAGTCCCACAGTGAGCCACTCTGTTGTATGATCAGGAAACACGCATGTGGCTCTCCACACCTCCTCACATCTTTGCAGCAGGCAGGCACCAGGTTAGCCTTTGTTTGCCACATACCTCTCCTCCTTTCAATTCAAACTCAATAAAGCAGCGTGGGAGTGGTGGCTATTACTATAATACCAGCACTTGGGAGGCTGAGGCACAAGGATCACCGTGAGATCAAGGCCAGCCAAGGGTAAATAGTGAGTTCAAGGCCACCTAAACTACATAGCTAGACTCTGTCTTGAAAAAAAAAATTGTTTTTAAAAACTCAATCCAGCTATCAATGACAAAAGCTTAAATAATACTTTTCCCAGGAATACTTACATTTTAATACAGTATATGTTTTAAGTCAAAAGAAGAAAGAATTAACTAGGAGTCTGAGAGTCTAAGCAGCCCACAGGAAACAGTATTCATGTGCGCTGCAGAACTTCCTGGACAATGAGACTGGACCACAGCAGCCGCTACTCCAGGGCCCTGGTAGGAAAACACGACACTCCCTAGGGCAAGCTGCTAACTTTTGCCAAACATACCTTGCATACTTCTCTGAACAGAGACAGCCTCCTCTGAAACAACAGCAAAGTTTTCTTTCTAAAGAAAAAGAAGCTGATATTCAGAACACAAAGATCTCAAATGTTAAGGATAAACAATATAAATTATAAATATGTTATCTACAATTCGTTGCCAGTTTTGCTTCATTAAAACTAAAATACTGAAAACATTTTGCATCAACTACTACCCAAGTATTTTGTGCACTTACCTGTGTATGTGTGCATGTGAGTGCATGGTGTGTACATACTGATGTGTATATATACGTGTGCCTATATACACCTGGGTGCATATGCTGCATTCTATCACTTACCCTTGAAGAACGACTTTCTCCCCAGAAATCTCCCCCAAGACAATAAACAGAGTTCTTGACTCTTTGCTTTTGAGAGTAACCTGAGAAACTTGAATTAGATTTAAATCTAGTATCTCGAATCTGGGTCTATGTCAGCAACTTTTTTTTTCTTTTTTGAAGATGAGATCTCGCTATATAATTCAGGCTAGCCTCGAACTCACAGTGATCCTTTTGCCTCAGCCTCCCAAGAGCTGGGATCACAGACATGTGCCACCATGTTCAGCTTGTGTCAACAACTTTTTAAAATGGAAAGATGTTGGTCACCTACTGTTCAAAGTCTCCCTTTCTTTTTTTTTTTTCCGTCTTTTTCGTTTTTATCGGTACCAGGGATCGAACTCACGACTGCCTGCTTGCAAGGCAGGCGCTTATGCCACTGAGCTAAATCCCCAGCCCAAAGTCTCTCTTTCTAAACACAACAGTAGTCCGTGTCCTGAGATGGGCTCTTCTGGTTGTCCCAAGATGAATTTTGAGCTAGCTACACCAAAAAAGTTTTAGAGTATGTCCAACTAATTTGGGTTATTAAAAGATTGACACAGCCATAAGTTCATCAAAACCCATATTGGTTACCCCAGATTTCAGGGGCAGGTGTTCTCCACAGAGCATACAAAGGGATTCTCTCACTCAAAAAACACGGTATACTGAAAGTTTAAGAAGGACAGCAGAAAAATGTGGAACTCTTTTTGTTTAAAGGACACCAACTTACAAAATGGGGAGTCCCAGGTCCACTTTTTCCTCAAAATGTAGCTAAAATACTACATACTAGTGCCAGGGGTGATGGCACACACCTGTGTTCCCAACACTGTGGGAGGCCAAGGCAGAAAGACTGCCAAGTTTGAGCCCAGTGTGGGCAACTTAATGACTTAGCAAGACCTCTCAAAATGTGAAAGAGGCTGGGCGTGGTGGCACACATCTGTAATCCCAGTAGTTGGGAGGCTGAGGCAGGAGGATTGACATGAGTTCAAGGCCAGCCTGAAGAGCATAGTAAAACCTTAACTCAAAAAAAAACAAAGTAAAAGTTGGGGGGAATAGCTCAGTGCAAAGGCCCTAAATTCAATCTCCATTACTGCCTAAAAAAAAAAAAAAAAAAAAAAAAGAAGAAAGAAAAAAAAAGTGGAACAGAAGAACTTTAATTTTTTTTTTTTTTTTTGGCTTTTTCCTTTTTACCGGTACCAGGGATTAAACTCACGACTGCCTGCTTACAAGGCAGGCACTTATGCCACTGAGCTAAATCCGCAACCCCCAATATTTTTTTATTTTATTTTAGTTCATTTAAATTTATAAAGCCATATGTGCATAGCAACTATCACTGAACATTGAAGCTTTAAGTATTAAAAAGTAGAAATGCATAATATTTATAATATAAGATTTTTAATACCTGAGGGAGGTTTGGTCATGTACGCACATATGCAAGGATAAGACAAAAGATTGTACCTTTCATTCCCCACCATGATTGGCAGAGAGGCATACTAAGTGGCAAATGGGACACCTTACACAGAGGAGCCAAGACAAGTGATCCTTAGCAGCTCTGTCTCCTATCTTGTTTTTCTATAAGCCAACAGCTTTCCTCTTCCATGGTACCTGGGTACCTGGCCACTATTCATGATTATTAGCCTTGATTAAGCTCCGATTTTGGTGCAGGTGGCAATTTAGGAAAGAAAAAAATTGAGAAAACTTCTGAGATGGAATCCGACTAGACAGCACCCTCACTAACCAACAGAGGGCGCCACAGCCCGGCGCAGCTTAGCAGTGACTGATCACAAAGATGGGTGAAACCAGACAGTGCCTTGCGCTGCTGGGAAGGGCTCTGTGGTTCCTAAAAGCAAGTGTCAAAAATGTCTCAAAGCAGAACTTTACCAGAGGCAAAGGGCAGGCTTTTAAAAAAAGAAAAAGTAATACCTACTTTTATTGCTATTTTGGATCTCTCCAATTCTTCCTTACAGTATTTATCAGCCAGTAAATAATATAGTCAATTTTAACCAACACTTTGAAAACAAGAAATAGCTGTGCTATTTGAATTGTTTAAACAGAAAGGGGCTAGAAACCCTGATATTCAGATTTGCAACAGGTACTTACCAACATCTGAAGTTCTTTTTCCAAAGCCTCTTTTACTTGACTGACTTCACTCAGATTGTCCTGCAGGCTAGTAAGCTTTAGCTCTTTCCCCTGGAGCTCTTTGGTAATGCTACTAGCCTAACGTACAGCAGTACATGATACAGAAGTAAATGGACAAAAAGGAAACAAACAAAAATGATATGAACAAACATAAAACAATGTAAAAGATTATGACACAGAACAAAACAAGACTGAAAGGAATAAAAAAGTGATTTTTATAATTTTAAGAAACCAATGACTTTTTAATTTGTTATTTTGAGTCAAGGTCTTACTAGGCATTCCAGACTGGTCTTAGCTCAACAATTTTGCTGCCTCAGCCTGAGTACTGGACGTACAGGAATATGCAACCATACTCAGCAAATAATTCATTTTCTCTTTAGACAAGGTCTCACTATGTAGTCCAGGATGGCCTTGAATTCACAATGATCCTTTTGCCTTAGCCTCCCAAGTGTTAGAGTGCTGGGATTACAGATGTGTGCCACCATACCTGGACAATTCGTGCTTGATATGATCATCTAATGGCTATTTTTTAAAAAGTCAAAGTAATTATTTTACTATACTTAAATCTGGACTAACAACATGATCTAAAGCAGAAAGTGCTAATGCTTACTTTCAAAATGAGTTCCATTTTCTGAACTGTAAAAACCTGAACACTAGGAGTGTATTAGGAGAGCCTGTGCCCAGCAGCTTACAAGGCCTTGGGTTTAATCTTCACCACCAAAAAGTAAAAATAAAAATAAAAGCCTTAACTAGGAATGGCCAGCACATGTAGTCTGCTATTTTTTTCCTACTCTGTTATATGTTTAAAGTATTTCAATGTTTAAATCCAACTAACTTCTGTGTTTGACTGGTATTTCAGAAGCACATGAGATTAGAGAACATTTTCCTACAGCCAGCCCATCATCTCCTATAGTCACTGAGCAATTTTTCACTGTTTATTCAATCACCACTCCTCATTTAACCAGCACAATCACTGCTTTTTTGCCAGCAGAACAGCTGAACAAATAAACTCAGAACATTCAGCATAAGTATCAGTGCCCCAACTAGTGGCAGGCAGGGAAAGAAGTCCTCAAACAATCCTTCAACGTGAGGATGACAAAGTCTAGTTAACAGGAAATGCAGCTGGCAAATACCTCATGTGGTTCCTAGGTGTGATGAAAAGCTCCCTTGTTCAGTCTACCCTCAAAAAAAAAAAAAGAAATAGATTGTGTCCTGAGCATGGTCTGAAAAAAGCCTTTCACAAAATGTAAGTAGCAATTCAACAGGCTCTGTATGTACTCCTGATGCGAATGTTATTTATCATAGCATGTTAACAACAGTCCAGAAGCACTCAGAATTCACTGTTTTTATACATAATCCTATAGTCAAGGAAGTAATTTGGTGGGAAAGAGCCTTGTAACTTTCTGTCTCACTCATTCCTTTACCTTATCACCATTGTCTGGAGGATTTCTCTATTTTAAACAGAGTATGGAACTAAGCTTCAACAGGAGTTACTGTCATAGCTGAGGCATAAAGTAATGGACCCAGGGATCAGATTCTAAGAAACCAAAATAAATTTATATGGGGGGCATTTCTTTTTTTTTTTTTTGGTCTTTTTCAATTTTGTCGTTACCAGGGATCGAACTCACAACCGCCTGCTTGCAAGGCAGGTGCTTAGGGGGGCATTATTTTCTCTACTCTCCTCGGATGGAAACTATACTTCAGGCCCTCAGAAGACACTATATTCTCACAGAAGCACCACTTCTCATTAAATCAGACATTCAAAAGATGAATGACCTCAATTCAAAAGGAACACATAATGCAAAACAATAATCAAAAAAAAAAAAAAGAAGGACTTTGATATGATACAAACCTTGCCACTTTCAGCATTCTTTTCAATCTCTAAATTTTTAATCTGTTTCTCAGCTGCCTCTAGCTGCTGTCTAAGTTTCTCGATTTCCAATTTACCTTCGGAACTGGTTTTCCGAAGCACATCAAGATCCAAAAGCTTTTCTTCAGTAGCCTTGAGCTGTGATGTAAAATTATCAATAACCTTGGTTTGTTCATTGCATTTGGCCTGCAGTACCTCTAGCTCCTTTACCTTTATTTCAGCTTCCTGCAATTTGTTTAAGGTGTCCTCCATTTCTACCAGGTGCTGGTCTTCCGCCTTGTCCAGTTTGGATTTGATGGCTTCCAGGCTGTTCTCCTTCTCTTTAATGACATTCATCAGGTTAGCCCTCAAGGCTTCCATCTCTTTAGCATGAGCAGACCGTTCAAAGTCTTGTTTATTCTGCAAATTTTCTATTTCTTGCTGGTAATCTACTTTCAGTTTGTCTATTTGCATCTTTAACTTGGCCTGTTCTGCTGTCTCCATCTCAAGCCCTTTGAAGGACACCTTCAGCTCCTCCATAGCCTGCTGGTGAGACGCAATAGCAGTCTGGAGCTTGGACTTCCACAGGGCTATCACATCTGAATTCTCCTTATTGGCATGGTCCAGCTTGCTTCTCAAGGACTCATTTTCTTTAGAAAGCTTCTCCATGGCTGAGTGCAGAGCCTTTATCTCCTTCTGATGCGTCTCTTCACGGGCTCCAAATTGCTCCTTCAGAGAAGTTATTTCTCTCTGATGGTCTGTATGGGTGACTTCTAACTTTTCTTGCAAAGAGCTTATTTCTTGCAAAAGGGAAAGTGACATATCCACATCTCCAGCAGGCTTATTGGACTCCAGCCTTCTTCGGAGCTCAGTTACTTCCTGCACTCTCAATGCTAGGTCTTTTTCTAGTTCCATTATACGTGACTTTTCTGACACTGTAGCCACCTATTAACATCAGGTCAAAGAAAAGAGAGATCATTACACTGGGGATTGGAAAGTTAAAAAAAAAGAAGAAAGAAAGAGATCATTTAATAAATAACAAATCATTAATGATGGTCTCTGATCCTGAAGATCTTTAAAAAGTATCTCATCTTGGGCAGTAGGCAAGCTATTTCAAATGCTTACAGGTTAATTTATCTCACTGTGATAAAACCTTAAACCTAATTCTGATGGCTCCAATTCAAAATTATCATCTTTTGTAAATTTCTACCATTCTGAGATGCTGCAAAATGAATATTGAGCTCATGTGTCTCAAAATTACTTCTTTTTCCTCTAAGAAGGTTAAATCATTAACTAATTTAGCAGAAACTAAATTTCAAAGTTCTCAAATACATCTGCTTCCTGAGAAAATGAGCATTCCTCATCTGGCCTGCTTTTTCTACCCTACTTCACTGAGGCTGCATAAATCCTTCTCCATCTGACCCTGATGATTTACAGAACTGTGCTGTCCAATAAAGCAGTCATTGGCAAAATACAACATTCAACTCCACTCAAGTGAGAGAGGGATGCTGTAAGACACACATCAGGTTTTGAAGACTTCACAAAAAAAAAATGTAAAATATCTTAATTTTTAATATTGATTATGTGGTGAAACAATATTTTGGGAATACTAATTTAAGTAATTATTCAATTTCATCTGTAACTTACTAAAAAGTGTATGTGAATACAAGCAATCAATTATATATAAAAACATGGATATTATATTTATATATCTACATTAGACATCTATGGACAGCACTGATATAAAGGTCTAAAATTACCTATCAAATGTTGCAACGAATAATGCATCATCTATAGTACAAAGGTCTGAAATGAATAATGAAAAATACATTAATCTTTTTTCAAAGCAACAACGTGAGAGTGATTACTTACCTGCAATTATACACTACAGTCTCACAGTCAAGTCCCTGTGGGAGATCTGATAATTCTATCAGTATCTGAGGTATGCATCTCATCCCCTAGCGTAGAGCTCTCCATATTAGCAAGCACATGAATCATCTGAAATGCAGTTCTAAATGCAAGTTCCCCACGACTCCCACACATTTTGACCCTATCTGAGCTCTGGAATTTTTAAAAAAATAAACACCCCAAGGCTAGAAAAAACTCTTATCCTATATCTAATTTTAGAAAATTATTTCCTAATGTCACCTGTTTAGTACACAGAATGTGTGGAAATTGGTAACTTTGGGCACAACGATTGGACTAACCTGGGAAATAGAAGGGACTATAGGTATTGTAATTTAAAATTATTAGTGAGTCCCCAAATGTCAAGTATCAAAACTCCAAACTTAAAGACTCCTCTCAATACTGCCTTTACTGGGACAGAAAATAACAGGTAAGTTTCTTTCATTTCCTCTGTCCACTTACTGAGTTTGTAATACTGATAAACTGTCGTAAGTAAAGAGGAAAACAAAGCACCTGATTCTGAATAACTGCAGTTGAGCTGACTAAAATTGCTATGCCATGGTTATAGGTGAATCAGATTATGATTCAGTTATAGACCATTTTAGATAAAGGGGAGGGATCAGAATTTGTGTTCCAAATATAAGATATAAAACTTTAATAAACCCCACAGAGGCAGACACAGCAAAATAAACTGGAAGAACACTAAGAAAAAGTGAAAACAAACCAGGTGCATGTCTATAACCTCTGAACTCTGGGAATCTGAGGCAGGAGAGGTACAAATTCAAGCCTAGCCTGAAGTAACTTAGCAAGATCTCATCTCATTAATAAATAAATACATACATATATACATACAAATGGGTTTTTTAAACTTTTATTTTATTTTATTTTTTGATTCTGGGGATCAAACTCATGACCTTGCACTTGCAAGATAGCCACTTATGCCACTGAGCTAAATCCGTGGCCATTAAACTTTTAAAGTGAAAACAATAACATGATTATTTTTTATGTAAAATTTTCATATTAGGACAAGCATTTCTATTTTTTAATTTTATTTCCCAGTCAGGAGTTACTTCTTCTTGTTGCTCATACTTCTACAGTGCCAGGTACACTGTCAGTTTACTGGCTTAAAGAAATTCTAAAGTGCTTCCCAAAAGGAATGTAGGTAATGCAAAACTCTGAGATTACTGGTTATTTTCCCACGTGGCAAATCAAGTGTGAGATCACAGAAGAAACATCATTACAGAAAGACACAGCTTTGATTTGAAACGCTTGGATAAACCCTGCTATATGTGGATGCTTTCCCATCAGAGCAAAAAGAAAGCACTGAAGTTCTTTGTTGACAAAATTAAAATATGAGAGGAGTCCAGAAGTTTTATATATGTATCAAATACATATATTTCCCTTAGTTTATTGGCTACTCACACAAGGGACCTCACTCCTTAATCCATTGTATTTCCCAGATCAGGACCTTGGCTCTCACGCAATGAAGAAATAGCACCAAATTACCACTTTTCCCTCTCTTTTTCTTCTCAGAACTGTACCAGGAATCTTTCATTTTGAGGCTAAGAACACTTTCCTCTTAAAATATAGACTCAGATTTGAGAGACGATTACCCAGCTGTCCAGATTTTTAGATCAATGATTTTTCACAACGAGAAAGTTCAAATAGTAATCAATTAAAAAAAAAAAAACCTGGGATTCCAAATTTGATCAGATAAAGAGTACTTTTTTAAAATATTAAAGACCACATACAGCCAAATGTATGATTTAAAAGGGATATATGAATACATATCTTCATATATAAGTGATACTTATTATTTCTTAGATCTTTCAGCCCAAAACTATATCCATAGCAGACTTCATCCTTGTGGTTAAGAATAGATTCTGAAGCCAGGATACAAATCCTGGCCTACAAGAAACCTGGCTCTACTATTCCTATTACCTGTGTGACCTTGAGCAAATTGTTTAACCTCTCTGTGTCTTAGTGTCCTCAGCTATAAAAATGGGAACAATACCACCCGAAAATTGTGCCAAGACTGAGTAGTACTTTCAAAGCACTCTGGGTAGTATGTGGCATGAGAACAGCTCTCTCACAGTTCTTTCACACCCAGACGAAGTAAAGACGCCTGGTGCCCTTGCTCCAAGAGCCAAACACCGTGAGATGGGGACAGTAAGCAGCCACTCCATTCCCACCATATGGGCCCTCCTGACCACTGAGATTTCAATCTCCTGGGTGACACATCGGAGGGAGATGTGGAGAGAGGTCAGTTGTTAAGAAAAAAAGATAACTAGAATCTGAATCCTTAACTCTCACTAAAAAAGAGCCAATGTTTCACTTTCCTCCCTGCAAGAGGCCTGAGGGTTGAAAAGGCAGGAAACAACATAAATTTAGGAAATTCAGTAAGCAGGAATATGAGAACAAGAGGACAATTGACTGCTTGTGGCCAACTGGAGAAATATCAAGGCATTAATACAAACAAGTCCAAACACAGCTGTGGCTATCCACAGTGCATAGAGCCATCAGGTTACCACCTTTTGAGGCTGGCTTAAGCAGTGGTGAGTCTCCATCTTGGACAAAAGAGCAGATTCCAAGCACCGGGGCTTGCCCTCCGCACTATGCTCAAGCGCCCGAGCAGCACCGTGAGCACACTCAGGCCAGCCGCAAGGCAAGTCACAGGCAGTGTTCACCACTCACACCCAAGAGGCTGCTTCATGAAATAGTGAAAGCCATTACCCTAGTGTCTTCTAACTCCCTCTGGAGTTTGTCAGCTTTGGTCTTTTCAAAGAGCAGGCTCTGTTCAAGCTCCTTAATGCGGGCATGCTCCAGTTTGGTCTGCGTCTGTTAGTAAAAAGGAAGAGGAAGAGAACACAACAGTGCCACCATGACATGCCAGCACAAGAGGAGAGGTAGCAGCATGCAGGCTGAGCCACCAATCCCTTCCGCCAGAAAGGGACACAAGGGTGATGGAGAAAGGAAGAGGATGGAACTGCGATGAGAAGGGGTGAAGATGGAGACTATGCACAGAAGGGTGAAGGTATGCAGGGGATGAGCTAGTCTCCTGGGAAAGAAAAACAGTGGAAAACACATGAGGCATGATGATGTGTCAGATGCATGCAGCCAAAAAGATGTTATACTGCTCAGTGAGGTTTATCAGCACAAATTAGAACAGTTAATATTCCCCTAACTAGCTCCTTCCCTCCACCCCAAGTGGCTACTTGACATCAATATGTACTAACTGACTCCATGACTTTAAAAGTAGATTGATCTCAGAACCATCAGAACTGTCAACCAAATGGAGAAAAGACAGTGAGTGACATACATCTTCAAGTGTTCAGGGAGCCCTAAGGCCAGGTCTAGGCAGCTAGTATACAACTTGCTATGGACAAGGGTCAAGAATTAACAGACTGCACATGGTGGCACACATCTGTGACCTCAGCACTCAGGAGGCTAAGGCAAGAGGATCACCACGACTTCAAGGTAATAGGCTGAACTACGTAGCAAGGTCTGGTCTCAAAATTAAACAGAACAAAACAAAACAAAAAATTCTTCTTAATAAGGAAACCTGGAAACCAGAGCTAAGCAAACCAGAGCAGGGGCATCTGCTGAATAGATGCAAAGCAAGTACGGCCCTCAGTCACATTTTCAGATACAACAGAAGAGGAGCCCTGAGGCTCTGATTTCCTTCTGGCAGGGATTCTTCAAAAATTATTTGTCTCTAGCAAAAACGAAAAAGAAAAAAAAAATTATTTGTCTCCAGAGGGGAAGGAAAATAAGTAGAATCAATACTGCAAAGAAAATACTCAACAGTGATTACTTTTCACAGCTTCTGTCCCTGAAAAGAGCAAGTAAGAAGCTAAGAGAGTAACAAAACAACTCCAACTCTAAGGGACTCTTCTCACACTGCACTCAAGTGGTTCTGACCAGCTCAGGGGTAAAAAAAGGCAGGAACTGGGGCTGTGCCAAGGCAGGAGTTCGAACTCACACCAGAACAGCTGGTAGGAAGGATCCCATCATGGCCAGTCCTCCACCAGAGGCCCCTCACGGCCTACTCAGATCAGTGTATGGAGCCAAAAGGAGACAGCATTCCAACAGACTCAAGGGCACAGAGTCTCACCTAATTTGAAATAACTTAGCACAAGGCCTGGCAGCACACACTTGGCATCCCAGCACTCTGAGAGCTGAGGCAGGAGGACTGTAAGTTGAAGCTCAGTTGAGGAAACTGAGTGAGATCCAGTGAAAAGATCTGGAAAAGGGGCTGGGGGAATGTAGTTTGGTGCAAAGAAGAAAAAAAAAAAAAATCTAGGTATCGATTCAAATGTACTTTTCTTCCACCCATCTCTCCTACCCAAAAAGCCATCTGAATAAATGACAGTTCTTCCATGGACAGAGCTGTTCCCAGCAGCTGCTCACAACTTGGATTCACTTTCACCACTTTTTTTTTTTTTTTCTTCTTTTTTTTCCTTTTTATCGGTACCAGGGATTGAACTCACGACTGCCTGCTTGCAGGGCAGGCACTTATGCCACTGAGCTAAATCTCCAGCCCCTTACAACTTGGATTCACTTTAATATTTTGTGGTTCTTTTTGGTTGCCTCCATCAATCTGGACAATTACAAACAATGAGAAAATGATGACAGCGGGGCTGGAGGTTTAGCCCAGCGGCTTAAGCGCCTGCCTTGCAAGCAGGCAGTCGTGAGTTCAATCCTCGGTACTGATAAAAAGGAAAAAAAAAAAAAAAATGATGACAGAATCCTAATAAAATGACACCAAACAGTGCAGATCTTGAGTAGAAGGCAGATGCCTAAATAAGGATACAAACATCTTCACTCACTCCATCAGTGCTCTGGAGACATGAATGCATCCAAGAGCCTTTGTTGCTAATTAATCAGATATAAACAAATGATCAAGGGATAGTTAAAAGGTGGATGAAAACCATTTTAAAAATTCCTCATCTGCTTTGGTTCTTTATGCTCCACAAAAATAATGAAATAAAATTCAAAACCCAGTCAGGTATAGTGGTGCAAATTCCAGCATTTGGGAGACTGAGGCAGGAGAATCAGGAATCCAACACTAGTTTGGGCAGAGACCATCTCAAAAAAAACAAAACAAAAAAATTCAAAATCTAATTGTCTGGATAGTCTCCTTGTGCACATGTGCCTCAGACAGAAGTTATTCGATTTATCTGCTCTTACAAGAAAAAATCAAATTCAGGCAAACATAATTAGGGTTATAGCTTCAAAGAACTGAAATACAAAACTAAGAGAAAAAGTGAAAGGTAACAGATCCTTTCTTCTTTTGATAGTATTAAGTATCCTCTGGGCAAAAGTTCCCACTTGCAGATAAAAAGCAAATACCCTTGTATTGTGATCTTCCAGAGATTTTCCCACTGAACACAGCAAACTCTCCTCTGCCAAAGGCGGGCCTTCACCACCCAGCATCAAAGAGGCCCAGCCACTGGACAGCACTTCCTTTAAAACTGCCGCTTTCTTAAAGCAAGACGCAGGGTTTCCCCAGAGGCAAGTCCCAGGACAAGGGCTTGAGAGGAAAGCAAAGACCGGCAGGAAGCGCACAGACAGGCAGGAGGGGGCGCCCATGCACACGGACACCGAACGTGGAGGAGCCTGTTCTGGAAGCAGCGAGGTGACCCAGAGCACAGAAGAGCCTTGCAAAAAGGAACTTTTCAGAACAAAGACCTTTTTAAAAAGTTCTGTCTTGAGCTGCCTATTTCTGCTGCCTGGAGGTAGAGGGAAAAAAGGTAACTTTTAATTTTGTTCTCTTGTGCCTGTAAATCAAAGCAAAAGGTCTTTCCAATTGGCATCACAGCTAGCTGAGTACACCAAGAGACAATGCTCTGGAGGCCATTTGGTGAGCTGTCAGCTGGGTGTCTCATCTTAATCAGAGGGAGAAGGAAAACACCGCATGCCTGGTAGTACTGCTACTAGAAGAAGCTGCCTTTAACAACAGTACATTTAAAACACACGGTGTCTTATGCCAGTCTCTAATTTCAGAAATTAGAGAAAATACTGTGGCAACAAACGAATTTTTGCATTTTTGTCAGTGTATTGGCAGACACTGACCAGCAGGGGGAGAGCTCGTCAAGGCAATCCGCGTGTGGCCAGCCCTCAAGACTCCATTTCTCTCTCAGGGAAATCATTGGGTAATTTTTAGGAAATGTTCCCCAGAATTTCTACAACTCCTTTATCTGTTTCATGCTTCAATCAGTTATCATTCCCTTCACAATAATGCTACTAAAATCGGAAGACATGAATTAGCTAAAGGCCAGGCCCTCAAGACAAAATGGTTTTTATCCTTTTGGCAAAAAATTCTGTGTAAAGGAAAAGTACAAAGTCGTTAAACAAATGAATTTACAAAGCTTAGTCATTCCACACAATTTCTTTGGGATGTACATGTAATTGCTTTGAAAGCCACATGCACAGAAATATCAAAGTCCCTGTCCCAAGGTCAAATTATGCAGTTAGTATTTCAGTGTATCAATAAGCATTTTAATCTGGAATCAATCTGTGTTAACAGGGGAAATACCCACACAGTTAAGTGCCCTCTTACATTCTCAGGATCTTCAGAAATATGTTTCTTTTGCTATCAGTAAAAAAATAAAAAAATTATACAACAATCAAAAAAGATTCATAAATCTTCTATAAGTGTTAGGGCTTCAAGATAACTTTCCATGACTAATTCTCAGTCAATTTATCACACAGACTGCACTAGCCTAGTGCTGATGTGAATATTTAACTCAGCCCTCTCCACAAGAGCTTCTCATTCATGTGAATTAGATGATGATATGAAACCTCTAATGAGACTCTGAGATGTTTTTAAAATGGATGGATACCACACAAAAGTCAACTGAAGAAATGCAACTGTATATGGAATGAGTGAAGATGTCTATTAAATTATTAACAAATCATTACTAGGTCCTATAAAACTAGAAAATGTTTCCCCTATTCTTTGATGACTATAAAGATGTATTTATTTTCAAAGAAATTAGAGTTCTTGTTTGGAAGGACCTTGAGCACAGCATGGGCAGCCAACAGACTCTGAAGTAATAACAGTGGCAAAAATATATCTTTTAAGAACTGCACCAGAAAGTGCAATTTCTCCTAAAATAATATAGCTAAAGATCACAGAATTTTCGAAATTTGAAGAAGTTAATTTATACCTGTCATATATCTGGCAGTGGTTTAAGCATCAGAATCACAGGGTGTGGTGGTATATGCCTATAATGCCAGCATTTCAGAGGCTGTGGCAGGAGGATCACTTTTGAGTTCGAGGCTAGCCTGTGCTACATGTTACGAACTACATAGATGAATCATGTTATAAAAAATAAAAAATAAGGGGTTGGGGATTTAGCTCAGCGGCATAAGCGCCTGCCTTGCAAGCAGGTAGTCGTGAGTTCAATCCCTGGTACCGATAAAAAAGAAAAAGACAAAAAAATAAAATAAAATAAAATAAAAAATAAAAAAGTATCAGAACCATTTCATTTAATTTTGGTATCTAATTCAAAACTAATTATTAAAAAAATGAATAACTGTTATGTGAAATCTGATGCTAAAAATTCTTTATGACATGCCTATAATCCTGGGACTCAGGAGACTGGGCAGAAGGACAGCTGCAAGTTCAAGGCCACACTTATACAGCGAGGGTATCTCAAAAAATAAATAAATAAAATCTAAAAATCTCCATGATTTTTTTTTTTCTGGTAGCTACTTTTTCAAGGAAATCTACTATTTGCTACAGCTCAGTGATAGGCATGCATGTTGATTCCCAGCATGTACGCTTGCATGTGCACACAGAGACACTGCTGGGCACACGCCTATAATGCTAGCGCTCCAAAAGGCTAAGGCCAGAGGATCATAAGGTAAAGGCATAGCCTTGGTAACGTAGCAAGACCTTGTATCAACAAATAGAGAAAGAGGAAAAGAAAAAGGAAAAGGGACTAAGGATGCAGCTTAGCATGAATGCCCTGGGTTTAATCTCTAGTACCTCAAAGAAAAGAATAAAAACTATGAGAAAATATAATTTATTCCTTTTATAGGGTTATAAAAGGTTCTACTCAACTGAAAAGCAAAGCTAGGGTGAAGCAAAAACAGAAAACAAAAGAACTTGTGAACTTATGAACAAATGGTCTTTTGTGGAGCGTGGTGGCACATCACTACTCCCAGCTAGTCGGAAGGCTGAGGCAGGAGAACCTCAAATTCAAGGCAAGCCTAGACCAATTAGTAAGATCCTGTCTTAAAATTAAAAAGGACTAAGGACGTAACTAGCCTGCCTAGTATGCACAAGGCCTTGGTTCAGGCCTAGTACCACAAAAACAAAACAAATCAAAAACTTCTTTTAAAGTAGTATTTCTAATAACTGGAAGAAAATATGCAGTCTCACACTTAGGACTGCTTTAAAATGAGAGCACACTGCCAGATTTATGACTTGACTAAATCTAATTCTGGATTGAACTCTGAAGCACAAAAATAGCTGTAAATATCTGCTGTGCCATAGGGACTGGGATGTCACAGTCATAGGACCATAGAGGCCAACTTGTCAAATGCCTGTGTGCCCAAAGCCCACAGTGCCTGCCATTCTCTGGGCGGACTATCCCAGCCCAAAAATCAGTGGGCGCACCACTGCGCCCCCACACTTTTCCACACCGATCCACTCAAAACTCTAGTGAGCTGAAAAGGTTTACCTCAAGATCGCCTTTGGTAATTGATTCTTCTTCAACCCGGAACTGAAGGTCCTCAACCTTCCTGTAAAATAAATCAACACAAAGCACATAAGACGGTAACGAAGGAATGTGACTGCATTATCCACCCACAAAGTCTACAATCAGTTCCTGCCACACTCAGCAAATGACAGTGAAAGGAATGCTTTTGGAGAGAGAAAAAAAAAAATAAAGAAATCCACTTTCAGGACCCCACTTTTTAAGAGTTAAACACTAATTAATTAGGGAATTCCAAGGTTTGTCTAGGTACTGATCCCAGAGGTCATGTGACAGCACTGAGAAAAATTAACTGGTTCTCTTGATCACAGATAGCAGAATGGATCTATCAAGGTAAGACCAGCCTACATAAAAATATTTCTGTAATATTTGGGAAGTTGAAGAAAAACAACAAGACCAGTCTAGACTACATGGTGAGACCCTGTCTCCAAACAAAAGAAAAAAATTTTATTACCACAGAAACAGATTTGAGATGCTAATTGCATAATTTCTACTTTGCAATATAGGCCCAAGGGAGAGTGGCATGGAAACCAAATCATCTGTTACCCCATCAGGCACCTTGAGCCAGGATCAGCAGACTTCGCAGAGACCCCGCTCAATACTTCCCACCCCTTAACCTTTAACACCACCAGCATCTGCTTCCAAGCCTGGGAGAATAAGGTTGTGAATGATCTGGGGGAGAAACAATCAAGAATCTTGTTCTAGGGCCAGGGACTTAGCTCAGCGGTACAAATGCCTCCTTGGTAAGCGTGAGGTCATGGTCGATCCCCAGTACCAAAAAAAGGAATCCTGTTCTTCAGTTCTAAAACGCACACCTTCAGATGTGCTGCAGTAAATCTGCTGCTGGGTGTGCTGCCTTCAATGCCATCACATAGTCTGTGAAATGCAGCAATATTAGATGTTCAGCATCTATGTGCCATCTATGCCATGCAGCTCCTCGTGGCTGCCTTGTGCTGGGGGCAGAACACAGAACCGCATGTATGCCAAGCAAACACTCTACCACTGAGCTACACCCCCTTACCTCCAAGATACCTGTCTTCACAAAAGAGAAAATAAGGCAAAGAAAGAAGGACAGAGTTCATAGTCTTTCCAAGTAACATTTCTGGCAAAGTTAAGAGAACAATCGTCCACAGTTCAGTGAGAACTCCCATTGTAATTTAAAGCCCTCGAGCCTACATGGGAGCCGGGGACACATCGGTCTCCTGCCCAGCAGTCCACAGAGCCAAAGCAAGTTAAGGACAGAAGCAAGTGGCACTGGTATTCTGGAGGACACAGAAGAGCCCAACACAGTCTGTGACTCATGGATGCAAGGAGAGGATTCTAGGCCTATTGTGTCTCTCCACAGAGGAAGCGGTTTCCTTGCTAAGAACTAGCACAGCAACACCTGGTATCATCCTGCACATGCCATGAGATTGTATTACTGACCTAAAAAATGATCAGAAACCAAGAAGTGGCTCAAGTCCAACAGGAACCAACACTGGGATAGTCACATGGCTACCACAATATTCTTATAAACGTTTTTTTTTTTTTTTTTTTTTTTTTTTGGTACCAGGAATTTGAACTCACAGCCATGTGCCTGCCAGACAGGCACTGTACCGCTGAGCTATGTCCCCTGCAGAACTGAACTTTTATGCCTCACACTATTCAACATCTTTTTTGTTTTTGATTTGAGGCAGAGTCTCAAAAGCAGTTCAGGCTGAATCTGAACTCCCTATGTAGATTGAGGATGGCCTTGAAGTCGTGGAGATCCGTTTGCCTCAGTCCCAAGCTCTGGAGTCACAGGTGTGCACTGCCATGCTTGGCTATACCACTTACTACTGATTTCACACTGAAAAATTGTTTCACATGCAAGAGCTTTGTTTTTCTAATAAGTTCTGGAATTCTCAAGGGCAAGGACCTTGTATCATCTCCCAGACATAATATAACTTCATAAACATTATGCAATTTGGACCTAGAACAACGAGGGTGAACCTTTGAGAGCTTTCAGTGATGCTAACAGCCTACTGTGGCACACATGCCATAGGTCTGCTGCCATTATTAGAGTATCCTCTCCACAGAAGAGGCTGCAGGTGAGATCTGATTAGAAACACCACCACAATACTAACTGAAGCTACCGTTAGGAGGGAGGAAGATTAACATGCAGGTGGGGCTCTATTAAGTATTTGCCAGATTAATCAGGTCATGTCTAAATGATCCCAAACATCTAACAAAATATCAAGTCAAAGTGCTCACTACTCACACAGCATGCAGAGTCTGATTTTTGCTGAACACAGTTGTTCCTTCGGTTCTAAGAGTGAACACCAATATGATTGCTTTTTGTTTTTCTTTTTTTCTGTGCTAAGGATTAAACCCAGGGACTAAGCTATGCCCCTGGCATCCCCCTTCCACTATTTAAATTAAATCTGAGGCTGGTCCAATGGCAGTGGGTTATCAGAACTTATTAACATTAGTGTCACTAAAGTTGGTATACCACCCCACACACACACACTGCTAAATTTGACTGGCTTAAAATAAATAAATAAATAAAGAGAATCTGAGTCCAGGTCTTGCTAAATTGCCGAGGTTAAGCTTAAGGTTTCAATCTTCCTGAATCAGCCTCCCAAAATACTAAGAATTCAGGCATGTACCAATATGCCCAGCTACTAATAAAGGTTTTATTGTTTTGTTTCATTTTGTTAGTTTTTTTGAGATAAGGTCTTGCTGTATAGTCCAGGAACCAGGCTAGTCTTGAACTCACTATGTAACCCAGACTAGCTTTGAATATGTGGCCTCCTGCCTCAGACCCCGCAGTGCTGGGATTACAGGCATGCACTACTATACCCAACTACCAAAAAAGTTTCTGATGAGAAATTTCTCTCAAAGATCATTTAAAAGAAAAGACTACATACACAGTGAAAGCACAGTTAGGGATTACCTTTTTTCTTCTTCTAGTTGATTGAGAAGCTCCACTTTCTCTCTGTCAGCTGCTTCCACCATTGTTCGTAGCTGATCCATCTTGGCCTCCAATTCCAGGACATGCTGAGAAAGGAAAGACATCAGTGTGCAGCCCATTCCTGATCAAATATAGACTCAGAGATGCTCCAGTCACATGACGGGTGCCCATTATGCTAATACCTTGTCAAGTTAAAATGCTATCTTAATGGATTATTCTAGGCAGGTTTCCTGGAAACTAGATGAAGAACCACACCATTGAACCAACAGAGCACAATAAACTCTCATCTTTTCTGAGCTGAAACACATGTCAGTAATCCATAGACACAAGCTGTAATCATTGCTCATGATCACCTAGTAAACAAGATGGCTTAACACAGACAGCCCTAAAGATATGGACATAAAGACCAAAAGACTAAGGCAGAATCAACAAGAACAAATTTTCATCTTTATGATGATGGAAACTGGCACCCAGGTCACAGCTTTCAAACAAGCTCAGCAAAGAAAGTCATACTCATTTCCAGTTCTCTCAAGTCTAGCTCTCTGACTCCGAGCACCATGAACACCTTTCAGGCTCCTCAAATTAGGAATGATCACCATCTCCACACCAAGGTCAGCGCCAGACTTCACCTGGTCATGCCCGTCCCGAGCCAGGGCTAGTTCCTGCTCTATCTCCCCCACGTGGCTGGTGGCCTTGGCCACCTCGGCCCGCTCCAGGTCCCGCTCAGCCAGCAGCTGTTCAATGTGCTGCTGCTTCTCCTTCAGCGCCTCCTGGAGGGCAGTGGTGCCCGAGATCTTGCGGGCGTAGCGGGAGGAGGTCTCAGTCAACTGCAAAGGAAAGTTAGAGAAGTGAAGGGCAATGGTGCTACAGGGACGCGGGAGCGATACATGCATGGCCGTGTCTCCGCAGTAAAGCAAGAACGCTGCCCCAGGTGCATAAGTTGCCAAAGTCCCAAGCAGGGTTTTGCAGCAAGAAAACATGGCAGCTCACATCTCTGTCCTTCTCCTCACAAAGAACACCTCAGCAGAATACACTCATGAAACAATTGGAGCTTGTTTAACAACACATGGTTCAAATCAAAAGTACTCTAGCTGGGCAGACAGGGCATGGTAGGCATCTAGAAACATTCCTTGGAACTACTTAATAAGTCTCTAAATTCTGTTTCAGCCTGTGAATACTTTCTTGACTTCCAGGCGTAGTGGGACATGCTAATAATCCCAGCACTTGGGATGCTGTAGCAAGAGGATCACCATAAGTTCAAGGCCAGTTTGGACAACACAGCAATTCTGGCTCAAAAAAAAAAAAAAAGTAAGGTGTGGTAGTGTACATCTGTAAGCCCAGCACTCGGAGGCTGAGGAAGAAGGATCCCTGCATGTTTGAAGTCACTCTGGGCTACCTAGTTGAGTTCAAGGATAACTAAACTGCATAGTGTACTCTGTCTCAACCTTTAAAAAGGTTACCTTGCTTTTGCTTTTGTTGGATTTTTTTTTTTTTTTGAGTGGGGGAGTACCAGGAATCCAAAAGGTTATCTTCTTGTGATAACATTTGGGCAAATCTATTGATCCAGAGACTTGGAGACTTTTCTAAGCTTCTTAAACTTGTAAATACCATTAAGCTATGAAGCAACCACCTTAGAGTCACAGACCTCCATCTCTTATTAGACAACTGGGTTTTTGTCAGGATTTTCTACATCTTTCTTTCAAAGGAAAGGCAGGGATAGCTTACCCAGAATTCTAGTCTCTAGGATCTGAACCCCCATCGACAGAAAGGTTGAGAGAGATGAAGAGGAAAACTCTCCCTGTCTTCCCATGAGTGACATGAGTGAGTGAGTGAGTCTGGGCACATACACACACAAGAGATAAGGGAAAACCAAAACTTGTGTCAAAAGGGAAGTAGTAGGTAAGGAGAAAGAAACAAGGAAAAAAAAGGCAATAGAGACGAGAGAAAGGAGAGCAAAAACAGGAGTAATGTATGGAGAAAGACAGGAAGGGAACCAGGGAATGCCAGTTCAGTCGTCAGCTAATCTCTGCTGTTTCACATACCTAAGTGCTCCAACTCAGATGGACGGTCACACAAAAACCAAGAGAAAATGACCCTACCAACTGTCAGCTGTGTGAGTGGAACTACTTGTTCCTCTGTCTATGGCTCCACAGCTGAGAAGAAAGAAGGTGACAACCTCCTCCCTTGGCAAGTATCTGTCCAAGGCTTTTCATTAGCAAACACAGGCTCCAGACAATGGAGCCATTACTTCACCTTCTGCACCCAAAGCCTCATTTGTCACCAGATAGCAGCCTGTGCAGTCCTTGCTACAGGAGGCATACTGGCAGCAAGGAACATTCACCAATGAATAACTCAGCAAATCTGATCAAACTAATACTGCCCTCTGCTGTTTCACTGCGTGAAATTTCTTGAATTAAACACACTGGATGGGAATTTCTCTCTTAACCATCTGGCCCACTTTCATTATATGGTAAAGTTATACTGTTTCTTATTGATATCTCCTCCAACGTTCTCACTAGGTCTACAATCCTACCAATGCTGTAATCCCAGCACTCTGAGATGCTAAAGCAGGAGAATAACAAGTTCTAGCTCAACTTGGGCAAGTTGGCAAGATCCTATCTCAAAATAAAAAATATTAAGAAAGGCTAGGAGATTAGCTTGTGTGAAGGGTAAGTATTCATTTCCCAGTACCACCCCTCAAAAAAGCAAGTGCCTAAACCATTAGCAGTGATGCCCTAGGAAGTTTTAGCAGACTCCAAGGGCACTGCAGTATGTTTTAAAATGTCAAGAGAAACAGAGTTATCTGCTGGACACCAGGCAAATGACTAAATGAAGACAACTCAGTGCTAACAATAGAGTGTATTCCATTCCTTTGAATAGCTTTGCAAAGTTAGGTTTTGGCTGCTGCCTAGAAGCGGGGGAGGTACTGTGTGAAAAATCAATGTAGCACAGGAAACGAAGGTAGCAGTGATAGATATGATTCCATGATTTGACGAGATGTGCGGTGTCTGCTGGGAATATATAACCTAACTGTAAGTCACTGCAATTAATGAAGAATGAGTAAAAATATTCGTTTTTCTTTCAACTTGTTTTCTAGTACAAAAATACATCTCGAACAACAGAACTGAAATCAAAATTTTCAATGGTTTGATATCCTTGTCATATTCTTTCATAGTTACTTTGGTTTAGGTTTAGAAACTACAGGACACTCCATGAAGATACAGAAACAAGCTGCTACATAAAGCAAGGAGACTCTTTTCTTTTACCAACTGTCTTCCCCGAATAAGCTGAGTTTACAGAGATCAGGACTTGTCTTAAAGTCAGTCAACAGACTGCTAGCCACAAGGAGAGCTTAATATTCCCCAAACAAGGACACATACCATTTACAAGGGAATAAAAATTACTCAACAAAGAATTTTACGTCAGAGCAGACACTCCTATAGAATTGTTCTTGTAACAGAGAAGAAAAATAAAAGTCTGTGGTGGCACTCACTGAATCTTTTCTACAAGGCTTTGTCTAAACAAAAGGATTTGTTCTTTGCCTCCGTTCATCGTTCTTGTCACCCTTTCCCCATTAGAGTCCATCTGTCATTTTTCTGTTGAGATACACCCCTTTTCATATACAAACTGAAACAGTCTGAGTGGTCTTTATTTGGTGGGAACAAAAGAAGAGGAATCTAGCTGCTGGCAAAGGAGCACAACCCACACTTCAAGATGCCACCACCTCGCCTTTCTCTGCCTGATGACAATGGAAGAGAAGGTGAAACCAAATTGAGGATGACAAATGCTAGCGCCCTGCTCCGCCACATTAATTTCCTAGCGCCTGACTGGGGGCTGCTCTCAGGAAGTACAGATCCTTCATTTAGTTGGGAGTGAAATGTCGTGCTGCCATTTCTGATGTCAACAGTATCAGCTTTGCTCCAAGTGAGTAAACTCAAGGGCATAGGATGAAGCCAAAATAGTCACTGCTTTTAACCCAAATACAATATCATGTTAACAAAAATAATGAAGCTCTATTTTAACTCTAATGATTCTATTTTCACTGCTATAAATGGGGCAAAGGAGACAGTGAGAGGACCAGGAGCAGGAAATGTAGAGGGAGGAGGAGACAAGGTACAACAGGGATTCTCCTAGCATCCTTTAAATTCCAGAAGGGCTCCAGCTGCCCATTGAATCCTCTGATCTATGTCACAAAAACCATGCAATAATTACTTTCAATGGCCTAGATTGCATTAATATTAAAATTCTTTTTTATATTAAAATTCTAAGATGTGAACTTTTTCAAACTACTTTGGTTCCTAAAATTGTCTGAAGTCAAAGAGAAAGAAAACTACAGTATGTACTTGAAGAACAATATGTACGCCTCTTCTTGTCATTTTTAGCCCAAAATAATTTCAGGAAAAAAAAAAATAAACAGTAGTTTACCAAGAACTGGTAGATTTGTAAATCTTTATGAACCTGAACAGTGTTATTTCAAATTCTGTATTCCTCTTGCTGGAGCTACATTTGCACAGACCTTCCCTTCCAGCAAGTGACAGCCAACACTCAGAAAAAGACAAGCAGAGCAGGGACCAGGCGGCAGCATCCAGGGTGCCTGGAGAGCAGGGGATGCAGCAAGAAGTGGGAAGGAGGCTCACCAGTCCCGTCCGGCTGGGCTTGCTGCTCACAGAGGAGGCCACAGAGCTCATGGAGCTGAGGGAGGAGGCAGACGGGCTGCGCTTCAGACTGGCAGGTGTGGTGGCCATCACTCGTCGCACGGCGGCTGCCTTGGCTTTGGCTGGTGTGGTTGAAGGGAAGCCAATCTTGGTCACTTTGTGGACAGGAGCAAACAAGCCATACTTGGGTTGACACTGGAAATACCTTTAGAAAGGAACAGTAACAATGGAAATGAAAGTCAATAGATGAAAGGCTTGGGAAATGTCTCTTACCCTCCTTTGTACTATTTCATTTCCACCTTTACTTCGCATCCTGTACCAGGAGGCAAAAGTGAGGTTACCCTTGCACAGAGAGATCTGCTTACTAGCTAGTCCCATGCCACAGGACACAATTTTTATCAGATAGTCCCCAACAAAAGCAGCCACCTTCTCTTTACCTCATTCTATCCCCAAACACCTAGAAATTTGCAGAGATCAACTGCTAATCAAAAGGAAAAGAAATCCCCCCCCCCTAAAAAAGTAAAAGAAATCCCAAGGGTAATATGACATTACCTATTTTAAAAAATAAACCAGATGCTTATTTAGAATCTACTCAGATGTACCTTACATATTATTAAAGAGGTAGTCAAAAGAACAACTTCAATTCTGGCAGGGGTGGAGGTTGCTGGGCACAGGAGTATATATCTGTAAATCAGCCACTCAAGAAGAGGAGACACCAGGACCACAAATTGCAGGCCAGCGTGGACAACTTGGTGAGACCCTTAGTTTCTTTTCTTTTCTTTTCTTTTCTTTTTTTTTTTTTTCCTATCTTTTTGAGACAGGGTCTTATTATTATGCAGTTCTGGCTGATCTTGAGCTCACTTGCAGAAGTAGTCCTTTGCAAGTGGTTGCTTTTATAGTAGCCCAGGCCAGTCTCAAACTCACAATGATCCTCCTGACTCAGCTTCCTGAATGCTGAGGTTACAAGTGTATGCTACCACACTTGGAAAGACCCTGTTTCAAAAATTAAAATAGTAACAATTTTTAAAAATATTTAAAGAGTTAGGATGTAGCTCAGTGGTAAAGCACCCCTGGGTTCGATTCCCCAAGAATATTCTGCTGAATAAAAGAGCAGGCAAGGGAAAAGAAGGGGGTAGGAGAGAGGGAGAAGGACAAGCAGGGGGAAGGGACGGACAGAAAACGAACCCAGCAGGCAGAAAATAAAAGTGCAGCCTTTCAGAACACTCATTTCCATTGTACTCCACACACTTGCGATCCATGGAAGCACTTTCCCATGTAAGACATACACATTTATCCTAAACCAACCTTGTTCCAGCAACAGCACCATCGTTCTTCCCAAGAGGTTCGTCTAACTCCACACCACACCACTCCCCCTTGGCAAAGTCGGTCTCCCCAAGAAACCGGACTACGCCAGCCTTGGTGCCACCAACCTGGAAGAAGAGAAGGCTCAAATGAAGCGATGGATGTAATTCCATAGCTCAGTCCGTCAAGGTCCCAAGTAATGGTTAAGTGACACATCCCATCATTTCCCTCAGCAGCTTCTCTACTTTGTCTTCTCTTCGAGTCTCCAGAGTTCTGGCAAACTGACCTGGGGACTTACACTGCCAGAATGATTCAACCTGGCATTGTCCCATAACAACACAGCCTATGTAACATGTTGTCATTCAGGCTATCCACCAAACTACTCACTCTGTTCCTTAGAAAAATATTTTATTGGGGCTGGGGGTTTAGCTCAGCAGCATAAGCACCTGTCTGGCAGGTGAGAGAGGTCATGAGGAGTTCAATCCCCGGTACAAAAAAGAAGGAAGGAAGGAAGGAAGGAAGGAAGGAAGGAAGGAAGGAAGGAAGGAAGGAAGAAAGAAAGAAAGAAAGAAAGAAAGAAAGAAAGAAAGAAAGAAAGAAAGAAAGAAAGAAAGAAAGGGCTGGGGATTTAGCTCAGCGGCATAAGCGCCTGCCTTGCAAGCAGGCAGTCGTGAGTTCGATCCCTGGTACCGATAAAAAACGAAAAAGACAAAAAAAAAAAAGAAAGAAAGAAAGAAAGAAAGAAAGAAAGAAAGAAAGAAAGAAAGAAAGAAAGAAAGGAAGGAAGAAAGAAAGAAAGGAAGAAAGAAAGGAAGGAGGAAGGAAGAAAGAAAGGAAGGAGGAAGGAAGAAAGGAAGGAAGGAAGGAAGGAAGGAAGGAAGGAAGGAAGGAAGGAAGGAAGGAAGAAAGAAAGAAAGAAAAAGAAGGAAGGAAGGAAGGAAGGAAGAAAGAAAGAAAGAAAGAAAGGGTGGTAGTGTGACTAAAATCACATGAGGGGAGCATGTCACATTAGTTAAAGATGATGCAATCTCTCCAAATAATCAGCTGAATTCTTTGGGGGTGAGTCAAAATTACTGTTAACACAATTGTTTTTCTTATAGGCATCTAACAGGCTACATACAGTCTATAACTCTCCAAGAAAACCACAGGCTTTGCTCAGATGGCTGTATAAAAGCAACCACTTACAAAGGACTACTTCTGCAAATGCACATAACATATATTTATCCTGAAAAATATATCTTCCCACAAGTTTGTCTAAAATGGATGATCAAAAAAATTTAAAAAATAAAACGGATGATCACTAGGTCCTAGAATGGGACCTTTTCTTATGCTTGTTCTCCCACCAAATTTGGAACTTTTGACTCATCAAACAGTAAGTTTTAAAAAAAAAAAAAGTTCAACTTCACTTTCCTTGTGAAAGAGCATCAGTAATTATTCAAAACATCTTCAATGAAGACAGTAACTCATTTAAGTCCTAAAACCACTCAAACATTTTTCTACTTATATATTCCATAGTCAAAAAAATTGAAGCATTCAAATATGACTTCACAAAGTAATCCTAGCGCTTGCGAGGCTGACACAGGGGGATCATCATGAGTTTAAGGCCAGAACTAATAGCAAGTTCAAGACCAGCTTACACTACATAGTTAGAACCTGTCTCAATAAAAGTTAGGAATGTAGCTCAATAGTTGTGTACTTGCCTAGAACTTTTGCTACTGTAGACAAACAAAACAAAAAAAAACATGTACAAATATGTCTTTTGTAGTAATTAGATTCTTCTGGGATTTTGCAATTTTTTTCACTTGTGGCTTAGAACCTCCGAGTCTAGGAGCCTGGTTGTGACACTCCAAAGTTTGTTCATCCTCTGTCTGGATGGTGCTTGTGTTCCTTGTGGCTGGGGCTCATGCCTTGTGGAAGTCATTCTTTGCCCAACTCCTGTTTTCTAATTTCTGTTACTTTGTATGGCTCAAACTTGAGAAGACTTCACCTGTTCATGTTGTAAGGAACAGAAAGAGGCAAAGACCTGCCAGGACCTCCAGGCTTATGTAAAGGCAACAAACATCACATGGAATTTATTGTGCCTGGGTGCAGACAGACAGAGGGCAAAAAGGAACAAAGGAAGCAGCCCTTTCTTATAGGGGTTGAAAGAAGGTAAGAGATGTTAGGTGGGCAGGGACACCAGGCAATGTTAATAAACATCACTTTCCAGCTAATTCTTTACACTAATCCATAAAGTTTTCCCAGAAAAAACACTCCCATCATTCCCATTTCCCACTCAGGCCTATGAGCACAGTGAGGGGAGGACAAGAAGGCTACTCCAAGTTTCTGGAGATGTCTGCGAGTGGCACAGGCCATAGGAGCTCTATTTGAACAGCAGAGGTGACCAACTGAACAGCTATCCTAACCTAGGCTTTCCCTTCCCTCCTGTCCTGCAGTGAGAAAAGGAGCAAGAGTTACACAGGCCACAGGGTGTGGAGAAGTCAGGCTCAGTTGCTGCCCTGAGTCATTGTGGCAGGAAACCTGAGGTGGCATAGGTGTGGCACTGGGGAAATTGTGGACCAAAGCTGGCATAACAGTGGCTGAATGACTAGTTTGTTACAGTCTTGGTGATCAATAATTTCCCTCCACTGGAGACTGAATCCACAGCCTTTCTCATAGTAAGCACATACTCTGCCACTGAGCTAAATCTCCAGCCCAACAATTAAGTTTTAATTACAAAGATTCCAGGATGTCTCAGTGACAGGGTGCTTGCCTAGCATGCACAAGGTCCGGTTCAACACCCGGCACTGCAAAAAAAGAAAATTCCAAATCAAGCATTCCAGATATCTAATTATTTTCATTAATTTCAACATCAAAATGTTTTCTATTTTTAAAACAAAGATTCCTATTTAAAAGAACTGCATGATAAAGTGGGGGAAATAACACAGCAACGAGGATGATAAGAAGATGTGTGCACACATGACTCACCAACACTCTGTCTCCGATTTTGAGCTCGCGTTCTCCTTTCTTAATGGAGCCAGCCTCTGACAGGTTGGAGATTGACTCACTGGTGGTTTTCGTAAGGTTGCTGACCTGAGGCGTGGCTGCAGGCTCCTTGGCTGTTGGCTGGGAAGACTTATGGGGAACATGTGAAGCCATAGCGAGACAGGAGCCCGCCGTGCTGGCTGCAGAAGTGGACAGAGGCGAAGCCGCTCTGGATACATGAGCCATCTGTAGGCCATTGGCTTCATCTTCCACTTGTACCTTCCGTGTTAACTTTGAAGGGCGGGTAAATATACCCCTCAGAGGTTCACACTGGAAATAGCGAACTCCTGCCACTGAGCCGTCATTCTTTCCTATGGGTTCATCTAAAACAATCCCAGCCCACTGGCCTGGTGCAAACTGGGTCTCTCCAAGGAACTGGATATATCCAGGCTTATTTCCATTCACCCACACACGTTCCCCAACTCGAAAATCATCAACAAATTCCTCTTGAGTCTCAGAGGATGGAGTGCTTGAGACTTTTTCACTGGATGTTGTTTTTTCTACTGAAGATACCACTGAAAACAAGATCAGAAAGATTAATTTCATATTCAAGGAGCCAACCTCTAACTTAAAGCAAAGAAACCAGAAAAAGCAGCAGCAAGACTAATTCATAATTGTTACAAAAGAGTTCTATTGTTTTTTCAAGCAAAGAGGCACAGTACTTGATCCATTATTACTATGTTCAAACTGCCAAAACCCAGTGAGCTGGAGGTAAGGTTTATTCTATTTGTAGTTAAGAGAAGAAGAAATAGCTGGACATGGTGTCTGATGCCTGTAATCCCAGTACTTAGGAGGCTGAAGCAGGAGGATCACTTCAAATTTGAGGCCAGCCTGAGCTACATAGCGAGTTCAAGACCAGTCTGTTTGACTGACAGCTTTGTTTTGCCACATTTGACTTTATTCTCTCCCCCCCAAAAAAGGTAATAAGAACTAAGGAGTAATAAAATCCAAAACGTGTAAATTTTGTTGTAAAAAAGAGAGGGGAAAAAAAAGAGCTCTAACGGATATAACAGCAAGTGTGTTTAGGGGTGTTAAATAGCTGACTATATTAATGTTTTTGGATCATTGAACACAGCTGTTTGCAGTCTCTCTGTCTGAATGTCCACTTTGTATTCTTTGATACTGTGATTTGAGCAACTGTTTCTAGGATGATAATATGTAATCTATTAACAGGTGATTTCTTACTGTTTTTTTTTTTTTTTTGTAGTTCTGTATTACATGTACCCTTACACCGCTTTGTTTTGTTTTGTGTTTTTCTCTTTTTCCTCTTAAATAAAAAGACGAGTCTGAATTACATAGCAAAACCTAGTCTCAAAAAAAAAAAAAAAAAAGACTAGGAGTAGTAGCCAGGGTTGTGGTATACAGCAATATATTATAGTTTTATGTTCTGTTATACACTACAGTACTGCATGTGCAAATAAAGCAAAGTCACCAAGCTGGAGTTTTCTTTGACCATTTCTTTGTTCTGAATACATATACAATTCCTGTTTAGAGACCAATTCATTTTAACAACCTAGTTGCAGGAACAAAACTTGGTCATTAAATAAGGGTAACCTAGACATTACAGTAAGGCTGTGTCTCAAAAAATCTAAGACACTTTGAAATAAAATGGACTTGGGAAAAACTAAGACAACTAACTCAAAGCAAGGAAAACTTAATCCTTTACCTACATATATTTACAGATTTGATATTCTTTACTCTACCTCTATCCTACACATGAGCAAATACCCACAGATACACTGAGATGGGTTCTATTAAAGCTGACAAAATTGCCATATTTAACCACAGAGATTTGTTCTGTTTTGTTTTGTTTTGGGTTTTGTTTTTTTTTTTTTTTTTTTGTCTTTTTCCTTTTTATCGGTACCGGGGATCAAACTCACGACTGCCTGTTTACAAGGCAGGCACTTATGCCGCTGAGCTAAAACCCCAGCCCAGGGACGGAACTCAACCACCGCGTACTTGCAAGGCTACTCGGCCCTAACCACAGAGATTTGCAATTAGGCTTGATGATCTAAAGGATACAGTACTGTGGCCCTGGCCAAGATTATTGGAAGACCACATGAACTCTATTTGTTTAATGGTGAAAGCATAAATCATAGCAAAGAAAAAAGACAGCACCTGGCCAAAGGTCCTGTTAAGGCAATACAACTTTGTGCAGTCACTACCTGTGGTAAAGACAGCAATGACAGTGTCCCAGAAATGTGATACTTACCCAGGAAACTCATCTACACAGCCATCCAATGGCATTAGTGTGAACTGGGATTGTGCACATCCTTACTCTATCATTCTCTTGGGCACACTCTGATCCCAGGATGTGACACCACCTCTCTATTTCATTTTTTTTTTTTTAATCTGTAAAGGGGCAGTAATATCTTCTTGAGAGCTTTATAAATAAGATTAAATAATGTATTTATTCACTGTGCATAAGTTCATTGATCTCTTACAACTCAGTACTGTTCCGCACTAGGAAATAAAGCAAGATTGCACTGTCTGTGCTCTCAGACAAATCAGAGTCCAGAGGTGGGAAAGCAGAGGGTAAAACACCTCATCAGGTAATGGCAGCAGTCTAATTGCTATGGAGGAGCAGCAGCCCCTCCAAAGAGGCGGTTAGGCAGATCTCCTGGAAGAAGCAGCATCTCGGTGAGCCTGGCAGATGAGAAAGAGTGAGTCATGCACACTGAGGGGAACACCCCAACTGGCAGCCAAAACTCCACTTCAGGCATTTGTTTCACAGCACTCATATATTCTACATGAGTTCAGATAGAATATGTCTGGGAAGACTCCCTGCAGGGAACAGGACCTCAACCTCTGTCCTGCCTGCTCCTCTGCTCTTGGCAGTCAACCAGGGCTGGGGGAGAGTGGTTAGTGTCCTAGGTTTCAGGGCGCCCTAAGATTTCTTTTCTCCATACCCTAAGGAGAAAGATCATAAGGAGTTCAGGAACACAGAGGAGACAGAGAAAGAAATAACAGGTAGGATCGAATAGTTCAAATGACTTGACAACTATTTTAACACCTTAGATTAGAACTAAATAAGAAAAATGATAACCTACAAGGAAGTGACTCCACTAATTAAGATTTCCATTTGCAAAAAAAATTTTTTTTTCTGCTTTTTGAGACAAAGCTTCACTATGCAGAGCTAGCTGGCCTCAAACTCCTGGGTGATACTCCTGTCCCTGCCTCCAGCATCCTAGGTTTACAGTTCACCCACCACCATCCCCAGCACTTTTTTAAACAGTGTTGCTATGTTGCCCTGGCTGATCCCAAACTCCTGGGTTCAAGTGATCCTCCTACCTCAGCCTCCCATGTAGCTGGAACTATGGGCATGTGTCACTGCATCTGTAAAAATTATATCTATTTATTATTTATTTTTTGAGGCACGGTCTTACTGTGTGTACAGGTTGGCCTTGAACTGTGTATGTAGCCCATGGGAACGCTCCTGCCTCAGCTTCCCGAGTGCTGCTATCACAGGTGTGTGCCATCACATCTGGCCTATTTTTATCTTATTTTGAGACACTAGGGATTGAACCCAAGAACTTGTACATGTTTAGGCAAGCAGTCTACTACTGAGCTACTACATTCCCAGGCACAAATTCTTACCTTTTTAAAAAGTAGTATTTTGCGGGGTTTTTTGAGCCAGTCTCACCACTACATAGTCTAGCTGACTGCTGACTCAGTCTCCTGAGTGATAGGATTACAAGTGTGCAACAAAGTACCCAGCCAGGTTACCGTTTGTTTGGGTTTTTTTGTTTTTGAAACAGGGTCTGACTTTGTAGTGCAGGCTGACCTTGAACTCAGTGTAACCAGGCATCAAACCCTCAGCAATCCTCCTGCCTCAGCCTTCCAAGTGCCAGAATTATATGCTTATACCATCATGCCTGGTTTTAATTTCTGCCTTTTAATTCAAAGTTTTTTCAAATATTTTTGAAATAATAAATAAATTTTAAAGAATATGAGTGACTATAACGTTTTCTTTTTTAGAGGTCTAAAACTGAAGTTTGATACAGGATAATTTATCTGCTACTAAAGAAAAATATGGATTAAAAAAAAGAAAACAAAGGAAAAACATAAAAAATTACCAGTAGCAGGTGTCTTCAAGGCTGTGCTTCCAGGCTTAAGGATCTTGGTGGGGGCCTTTAGCCCACTTGGTTTTAGCATGCTCATTGTTTTGGTATTTCAGAGCTGTTTCTCCCGTGCCTGTCACCACTATCTTTCCCCAACCATCGATACAACTGTGTTTCTATAGTGAAGTCAGGCTCTGGATTAAATCTGCAAAGGGAAGCAAATAAAAAGCCTTTTAATTTTTGTTTTTGTCCATAAAATAAAAAAGACGGTTAAAAAAAAACTTTTAGACCTGTAGGAGAAAGAACCCAATACAACAAGTATTATTAAAGCACATTTCACAGCCTAAACTTTTCCTTACACACCGTAATAAAACATCTCCACATTGAACATAGAACAACTAAATGTGGCTACATGAAGGTCCTGCTGAAGTGGACTTAAAGGTGATTTATTGGGCTGGGGATTTAGCTCAACGGCATAAGCACCTGCCTTGCAAGCAGACGGTTGTGAGTTTGATCCCTGGTACCGATTTAAAAAAAAAAGACCAAAGTGATTTATTATCCTAAAGATAAGCAATGAAGGCTAGCAATACATTCACTTTGGTTTACATCAGCTGATATTACCTGCTTATTATAGTACTTACAAACCACATCAAAGAGGGGTCAGGAAAATTTGCACCTATCTTATGGGAAGATGGCAAGTGAGTTTCCGGTTTTTAATTTATGCACTTATATTTTCCTTAAATGTATTACAAGCCTGTGTGAACTGTATGTTTCACAGCCTCTTCACCTCCACAGAAAGTATGCAGAGAAACATTCCCAGATACAATACCTAAAAACAAAAACTCCAATCAAAGAGAACTACTACCAGCTGCCCAGTGCTTGTTTCATATTTCTCTCCAGTTGTCTTGGACAGTGAAGCACAGTCTCACTCTCTGGCCCCGTCTCTCTTACAAGAATGTCAAGCACTTAGACGACTCTGCCGAGCAATGGCAGAAGAGCCTGCATGGGCACTGCAGTGTGCTTAACAATGTACCCCCTCCACCTCAAAAATGTGACTGTGACTGTGACCTTATCTGGAAAAAGCATCTCTATAGATGTAACTAAACTAAAGAACTTGAGGTGAGATCATCTTGAATTATCTGGGTGGGCCCTACTCATTTCTATAAAAAGAGAACACAGAGAAAAGGCCAGCAAAAGTAGAGGCTGAGATGAACTGCTGTGTTTATAAAACAAGAACTGCTGGTATCACCAAACATTAGGACAGAGGCATGGGACAGATTCTCCACAGATCCTACAGAAGGAACCAATCCATTAACATTTGATTTTGGATTTCTAGCCTCTGGAACTTTAAGAGAACAATTTCTGTTGTTGTTTTTGGTTTTCGGTTTGTTTGTTTGTTTGTTGAGACAGGATTTCACTCTATAGTTCAGGCTGGCCTTGAACTCACAGCAATCCTGCCTCAGCCTCCCAAGTGCTGGAATTACAGGGATGCACCAACATGCCCAGCTAAATTTCTACTGCTTTAAATCAACCAGTCTTCAGTAATATTTTATGACAGAGCTAGGAGGGAAATATAGCCATGTAAATTTTTCTGTTCAAAGTTAACTAGAATGATATAGGCATGGTGATAAACATGGGAGATAAACATGGTGATAAACTCTGGGAGGCTGAGGCAGGAGGATCACAAGTTCAAGCCCACCTTTGGTGAGACTACTTCAAAACGTAGAAAAGAAGCTGAGGATATAGCTCACTCCTAAGGCCTTAGGTTCAATTCCCAGCACAAAAAGAAGGAAGGAAGAACAGAGGAGAGCAAGAGAGAGGGGGAGAGAGAAAGGGAGAGGGAGGCAGAGAGTGCACGAGAAGGGGAGAGAGGGAGGAGGGAAGGTACTGAACCAAGACAGATGCTTCATAAGCTTCAGTAGTCTCTATGCTTCTTGAGGGCCCAAAGCAGTTCAAGATGTTTTTCTAAACATCAGAGATAATGCCAAGCATGGTAGGTATATGTCAATAATCCCAGCACATGGGATTCGAGGGCAGGAAAACTATGAATTTAAGGTCAGCCCTGGGCTACATTTGGAGATCCTACCTCAAAAAAAAAACACAAGAAAATAAATTAAAATGTGAAAGACCAGTTGTGCAGTTTGAGAGAAGATTCTGATTAACAGAGAAAAAAGAACTTCTGACTTGAAGACAGTGATGGCCACTTCTGCTTATAAGCACAAAAGTCCCCATCCTCACCACTCGAATCATAACCAGGACCATCTAGAGATAGTGGGGTCCAAGTGGTAGACTGTACAAGTCTGGAGGCTCTGATGCTAAGTTGGGATTTTAAAGCACTTGCTTTATTTACCATCAGATCCCCCCATCCTGGCTTGGACTCGACCACTGCCTCAGGACAGACAGATCAGCTGGTCTCTTCTAGTCTCTGCTGAGAAAGGCTATTAATGTGTCCAAAGAAGTTGAGGAGGCTGGGGATGAGCCAAGTGCAGAAATTCCCATGGTAGTTGCTCCCCTTCACCCTGCTCCAACATCATTGAATAACAGAGTCAGGTAGGAAAGAAAACTAACAAAGAAAAAGGCATAGTTGTCCTGGAAACAATTACAATGGCAACAAGAAAAAACAAAGTGCTCCATAAAATATTTTACTCAGAAGCTGGGCACAGAGGTGCACGCCTATAATCCCAGCACTCAGACGGCTGAGGCAGGAGGACAGCTGGAATTTCAAAACCAGCTGGGGCTACAAAGTGAGCTTGAGGCCAGCCTAAACTGCATAGCGAGACCATGTATCAAAAAATAAAATAAAATAAAAAATTTTTTTACCTCAGGCAAAACAGCAAATTCATGGGCTCAGTTTAAGTACTAACGAGACAGAAATTTTGGAATTCACGATTAAACCAGGCTAACTAGGAGAACCTCAGTCAGTCTCAATTCCTGCAACCAATATCATGAATTCACAAAAACTCAACAATCTACAAACATCAGCCTACAACACAGAAGTATGTGAGTATTACGCACAAAACAACGATTAGAAATTCAGCCTATGACTTCACTGTCTAATCCTCATGTCTCAGCTCTCAGTCTATTGGAGCTTTACAGTACTATGGATTAGCTGCTCTTACTACTCCTTCTTACACAAACAATACCTTAGGAACTAACATGTATCTCCTCATTTGTTAGGTCATGCAGCTCAGAAGCAGAAATGAGAATACAGATTATTTGATCCCAAAATCCAAGCTCTTCCCATTAATCTAATGTTCAGATTTAGGAGACACCACACATTAAAATTACAAATACTATTACTCAGATGACCTACCACTAGGTAGAACACCTAGAGTTCACACAGCAAACTTACCACTGCCTTACCTATGTCTCAGAATTTAACTGTGAAGGTAGATGAGAAAGTATTGTAAGTTTGAAGATAAACACAATGAAGGTCTACGAGGTTAGGTGCTTTTCACAAGTGCCAATCAATTAAAGCAGCACTACAGCTCTCCTGGGACCTGGTGCTCAAAGATTTGCCCTCTGACGAAAATCTTCCCATAGGATGCATGAACGCATTCAACAAACATTTCCTGAGAAGCTACTACACAGAAGGCACTTTTCTATTTCCCCACTGGTGATGAATCTGTAGGAGGGAGAAGGCTTTGAGAAGCTCAGAGTACTAAACACAGAAAGCATAGGACTTTGAGTGAAGAAACGGGAGCTGCTCCTAAGCAGCAACAAACACAATCTGGTTTGTGATCACAGATCTAAAATGAAACTAAGACAAAGGTCACCACAGGGACAGCAGACAAACTCCTGCCCTTAACTTGTTACTCAACTAAAAACATGGCTTGTGGACCAGGGATTTAGCTCAGTAGCATAAATGAGGTCATCAGTTCAACTCCCAGTACCAAAAATATAAAAAATTTAAAAAACAAAAACATGGTTTGTTTTCTTCTGGGACAGTCAGGGGCTGCTTTCGCTTGAAAAGGGGGGAGGGGCAGTGATTCTTCATTTGGGCCTGTGGATGCCCAATAAATAACAAAAAGCAGAACAAAGCTTAACCTTCATTCTGTATCTGACTTTTTCACCTTAAAACTTGGCTCAGATCACAGCTCCGCCCTGCACATTTATCTATTCCTCACTTAGGGAACCCACTGGCTGTCTAAAAGGACACAATGCAAGGTTGATCAGCCAGCGTTGTATTTACACAACCATGCCACCCTTCCAGACCAGGACACAGGGACACTCAGCTACCTCTGAGTACCTATGAGTCCTCTGTGCTTGTCCTGTGGTTGCCTTAAGCTCCACACAGCCTCCACAGAGCAGAAAGCACCGCCTCACTAAGTGACAAAGCCTGCCCAACCCATCCTGTAAACCAGAGCCCTGGGGGCTGACAGACCCTAGCCTGCTCCAGTCCTTAGAAGCTCACCCCATGCCACTGTCCACAGGCCTTTTAAAAATATTTCTGCTCAAGCATAGGCACAAGATGGATGGATAAACTCAACCATACTAAAGTTCTGCCAGTTAACCTGATGCAACGGCTCATGCCTGTATTCCAACACTCACGAGGCTGAGGCAGAAACACCACTGAGAGTTGGAGGCCAGCCTAGGCTAATGGTGAGTTCAAGACCAGCCTGAGTTACAGAGTGAAACTATCTCAAAAAACAATACCTAAATAAATAAATAAATAAAAGGCCAGGAATTTAGCTCAGTGGCCTAAGCAGCTGCCTGACAAGTACAAGGTTATGAATTCAATCTCAGGTACCAAAAAAATAAATAAGTCTACCAGCTGAGTCAAAATGGAAGAGAAAACCATTAAAGTTAATGGTGATTTTAAAGGAATGACTAAAGTAAAACAGGGCACCTGAGAGGCAAAAGGAATTACGGTGATGGGGCTTGTGGGGGATGAGGTGTCACTTTGAAGGCCCCAGCCCCCTTGGACCTGTAGTAAACAATAGCCCCCGGTATGCGAGACAGAGGCAGGACAGGAATGTCTGTTTTTAGTGGGATCTTTTTACCCTCTAAATACCATATTGTGTGACCTGGCTTTGTTTTATAGAGTCATGAGGAAGTGGCCGGCCACCCTTTGTGACATTAGCAACAAACATAATTAACAACATTTTTGGGCTAATAAATTTTTGGGGGGGGGCTAGAGGAGTTAGGAGAACTGGTTGTGTTTGTTTATTTTATTTAGATAGTTTAGAATAAACATTGTAGTTT